GACAGACAGTTGCCATACCAGCCTGAACATGTTAACTGTAGTGCCAACTACAGGAATATAATTGCTACTTCTCCTGTTTTTTTAATATCCGCCATGAAATACGTAATGTGTTTTGGAATGGAAGGATATAAATACTTCATATTGACGTAGTAGTAGACCTACACCCACACATCCATACTTAAAGTGAGAAAGAAAATTATGAATTTTTCATTAGGTAATTGAACTTAAAAGGTTTCAATAAAAAATATAATTATATACATTTTTATTTATACTAAATTAAAATAGTATTGTATTATTTTTTTTAATGTAATGTTAATTTTTTTGTGTTGGGTTAGCACTCTTGTCTATAAAAAATATGTAATTAAAACATTTACAAAATAATTATAATTTGGAACATTTTATATTAGGTTGAATTGAGAAAAAATGGACTGTATTGTTAAAAGAGCTGACAATTTCACATTATTTCTGTTTCTTTAAAATTAATCGAAAATAAATAATTTAAAAAAAAACCCAAATATTTTTCCTGATCACTTTTACTATATAAATTTATGTGACATATTTTGCAAATAATGACATAAAGTTTAACAAGTGACCATATTATTATTATTGCATCATTGCTAAAATATTCCCTCTTTACATTGAAGTTCTATGATCAGAATCACCTCATATGGACTATTCCATTTTTTATGTAGGGAGAGTAATTTTTTATTTAAATATAGAATACTAATTAAACGGTAAAGTGCTATAGTGCAGAATTTCAATTTAAGTTTTATATTGAGACCAATATGTTATAAGATCCCTACATTTAAATTTGATATTATCTGTACATAGTCAAAATTTAACAGTAATAATTAGAGGTGAAGTGCAGTGAAGCGTTAAGATTTGCTTGCAGGTGGTATGAATATGCATGAGGGGAATATTCCATTCAGTGACAGTTGAGTTGAAATGCTGAATGGAAGCTGGTCTAGTCAGCTGTTGAGTGGGGTGATGCAATAGGTTTGGTAAAAACAGGAACAAGAAACAAAAGCACATTTTGTGATCGGTATGATGTGTGACCAAACCTTGTTCATGCCACCTTGTCTGTGTAATAGTAACAAGGATCAGGTAGTTGATTGTGAGTTTGATAGAATCATGGGTAGACATGTATGTTACCAGGAAGAGAAGCAATTGAGAGAGATGCTGCAAAGTCAAGACATGGTTGATTACAATGTCAATAGCCTAGATCTTGCTGATGCTAATCTAAGGAAGATGCAGGTATTGTACTGTATATATATACACTGCAGTTGTGTCTGTTCACTGATGTATTATTATTATATACACTTCAATTTTAGGTAGTATAAACCACTATAATAAAACAATAATAAAATTATCATTATTTATTATACAATATTATTAGTTGGTTATAAATGGAACTTTTATATCTTTATGTACATAAATTTTATTAATTTCTTTTTCATATCCGTGAATAATATTTGGAAATTAGTGCATTTTTAGATTTAAAAATAGACAGATTTTAATTAAAAATAAGACGCAATGAAGTGTTATTAAATTTTAATTTGATCAATTGGGTTTTCTGAATTTTTATATTTATTAATTGTAGATCAGAATCTAACTGAATATATATACTAATTTCTTGTTTAAAAGTTTTGTCGGATTTATGCCTCATTTAATTTGGCGTTTTTACTTATTTAAGTGTATATCCTTTTTGTTAAACTTGGCCATGTGTTAGCACTTTTTTCTGTGGTAGTGCTGACTAAATTGCTGCCTCACACCACAATAAATACTTTGAATTTTAAAAAACCACAATTTTTATCTCTCCTAGATAGAAAACCACATTTTTGCTGCGAAGCAGCCAATTCATATTCTTGACAGCAATTTGACCTCTGAAAGGTCATTGTTTGTCAAAAAACGAGTGCCTAAGACGACTGAAAAGCGAGTTTCTTTCTTTCGTTCTGCCGGGTAAAATCAATTACTTTAGGCGACGTTTGTAGACTAACCTACTCGTACCAACGTCCGCTTGTGGCGCTAGCCTTATTCTACACTAGGCCTAGACTAGCTAGGATGGTATAGGCCTAGCCTTGAAGACGAAGGTCCCAATGAAAAACAACGTCGCTCTTTGATAGCTAACTTTGTCTATTTAACATCACAATAATTCATTATTAGACCTATAGTTGTTTTTTGAATTGTACTCCACAAATCTCAGCCGATACCTCCCACAACTGGCTAACGTCTCTATCTGTTGTCGTGACGTCATGGCTCGCTGGCTCACACACTTGAGATATTATATTATTATTATATGTCTCGTACTTGTGATCAAATAACACGCTGGCTCGCACTTTGGCAACACTCTTTGGCAGTCAACTCGCCCCTAGAAAACCCGCCCTTGGAAACTTGCCCCATAAAAAAATGTACACTTCCTAGACCATGCAGTCTTCAAAATATAAATTGTAACCTGTAAAAAAAAATGATGAAAGGCTAGAACCCAGACCTCTGGCAAACATCTCAACAACCAAGCAAAAGCTCTGAACTTGCATACATTATTATGATAGGATTTGCTGAACTTTTTCTAACCTTTTTTTTATAGTTTTATTGCTCTCTCAGTAATCTCTACTTATCTGAACTATTGCCTATTATATTATCTTACCTGTATATAATAATGATAAATTTTATATTCAATGTGATAAGGCCATTCAACAAGAGACTCTGCTACATGAGGCACAAAAGGAGAATTTTAAATGCTTAAAAAATAATATAACTTTATTAAAAATTGTATTATTAAAAATTATATTAATTATATATAATTTTAAAAAAATTTGTAGTATTTTAAACACAAGTATTGTACATTTTGGAAAATTTAAGATTATATATTGAGAAGATAGCAATTTACGGTTTATCTATCTTAGATAATTTATAATATGGATTTTGTATATTATATTTTAACAAAACGCTATGCTATACAGTGTTCTCTCAGTCCTTGTGTGTAACCCATAGAGGCATTGTGTAGGGCTATGTAATACAGATTACAGATAGATATAATATAAATAAAATTATTATTAAACATGGAGTAATTACCAGTATTTAAATATAAATTAATGTACTATTTTTGGACATCCAAGTTTTATGTAAATAGATACGTTTATTAACTGTAGCTTGGGGGATAATGATGTATTTTTACCAAATTATGTTATATAGAAGGCTATGCTATACTTTACAACTTATTAATAGTTGGTCATGCCTTTAGTTTAATAGACTTGAATTTGTATTAGATTTCATTTAGAAGCTGCAATCATTCTTTAGATAAGGTAGTATTACTTCTTGTTACCTTGTATTCCAATATTTATTAAGCAAAGAAAACACTATATTGGTCAACGAGCTATAAGAAAAGCCATGCTTTTCAAGACTGCCCCTTTCAAAATAGAGGTTACTCCGTAGGAGATAAGCATAATGCTGTATCTATATAGAAATTAAAAGATAGACAATGTAGATGGTTATCATACAGAAAGATTATATAAATGAATTGTCTTTTGAAATTGCTTATTATAAGCATATTAAATGTTGGTCAATGAAATATAATGTACTTGGATTTGACTTTGTTGTGAGATTTTTTTTTTTCATTATAAACTACCAAAATATAAAAAATATAATGTTATTAAAATTATATACTGGTAATTTTGATTTGTAACATTTTGAAACAGCCATGAAGCACTTCTTTGGCAATCAATTGTTTTCTTTACTTCAAACCAGTTACAGTATTTGGCAAAGCACTTTGTCCTCATGTCCATTTTAAGGTCGATGACCAGCGTAGCAGTTTTTGTGGCAACAGTTCAACTATTGTAGAGAAAACTTGTAATACCATAAGCCTTGACTATTGCACAGGATTAATTATTCAATGATATTTTGCAGTGTCATTCTTAATTATAATCAATGTGTGTTAATTGCATTATCATTTACGTCACTAGAATAAAAAGTTATAAAATTTTATGTAATTCATCTATTTTGCTATGGTAAAGTTAGGTAAGTTGATATCTCCAGTGTATTTTGGAAGGATGTGAGAGAAAGGGATGTCGATGTAAAAGAAAATGGAATAGTGAATTGTGAGGGAAAAGAATGCAAGAGAAAGGAATGAGAGACTAAAAAGGATATAAGAAAAGGAGGATATGAATTATGCAATGTGAAAATATATGTTAGATAAGAAGATATGAATAAGAAAATTCTGATATCTGAACAGATGTGAGAAAAAAAATATGAGAGTTGTTTAATTTGGGAGAAGTTATAGGAGAGAAAAAGAAATTAATTAAGAAAAGGGATCTGAGAAAAAGTGGGAGAGCTGAGAAAAAGTGGGAGAGCTTAAAAAAATAATAAATAGCAAAAAGAAAGTAGAAATGAAGAAAAAGTATAAAGTAATGCAAATAAGTAGAAAACCATGTCACTTTGTGAAGGTTATTTAAAAAATATGGAAATTATTAGCTTTTCCGTTGAGATTGTAACTTGCGCATGTTTGATCTATTTGTCATTAAATTCACCTCCTTTTGACGCAATCATAGATGTTTTTTCTGAGAATTCTGTTTGTTTCCTAAAGTACACCAGGAAAAATCATTCTTGTATGTTGTGAAAAATTAGAATTGTCAATGTAACATCTGGTTTATAAATCTAATTTTTTTTTTTACAGTATTTCCTTTTGAACTTTGAACTTTCTTACTATATCTTGTATTCATGTTTTCTTTTTTTGCATTACTTAGAATTTAGTTCCTAACCATGAATATTAACAGACATTTTTATAATTTAATAATGAATGTATCATTTTTATGTAGTTAATAATCTGTCATCTTCATGATGATGAAAACAATTCCAACTAGGAATTGCAATGTAGTTTTTCAACTTCAACCAAAATGAAATTTGTTCTTCCATATGTTTTCCGTTTTGTTACCATTTGTCTATTTGCAATAGACTTTTTCCATGGTTTCAAATGCATTAAGGATGGGCATTTTTCTATCTTTCAGGAGCACAATATTCCAATTCCACGACAACAAAACGAAGGTGCTACCAGCTTCATTCCACACAAAGAGGTAAGGAATTCTGTAAAAAATTTTAGAAGTAAAATTAAATGTATTTATAAATGGAAACTTGAATTCTTTGGCAATACAACTTGGTGGCCATCGACTATTCAGCTACTTTTAAACCTATAGATATATATCAAGGTGAATCAGAACTTGCTAAAGACTCACTTTAGTTTATCAACGGTACAGGGACAGCTTAAGTAAGTATAATAATTATAATTTACAAGTACATTAGCAGCTAATACATTTCAAGGAAAAGGAGCACAATATTCCAATTCCATAACAACTAAACGAAGGTGCTTTATCAATTTTTTATTGATAAACTTAAAAGTTTCCACAAACACTCCAAGAGATTTTTTTTTTTTTAGTCATATCAGCTGTTCCAATTACCGTATATTTATACATGTTCTCTACACAATGGAATTTTCCACTGACCCTTGACATGTGAATGATGCATTGATGATATCTAATAGGTTTGCTCAGCCATGGTCATTAATGCAGTATTGTCTATTATTCCAATATCATTTTTATACCGTGGCCAAGTAGGGAAAAAAACTGGTTTCTCATCTTAACTCTATTTTACGGCCTTTTATTTGGCTGTCACCTTTTTCCAATCTAGTCATTATGTTGATATTAACACCGATTCAGACCAACTTGAGGAGTATGAATATTAATTTTGGAAACTATGGATGCAGTGGTGGGACAGGCTAGGAGAGGGGATGTGCAAAAGTTTTAAAATATAGATGTTAATAAATTAAATTATTGTGCCAAAGTTTATTTTAAATACATTTTTTTTTAATGAATCAATTTTATTAACCATATGTTGAAAGTTAAGATAATAATATTGTTTTTGTGAAAAAAGAAAAACTATTCTCCCCTTCACTTCCCAAAATACAGTATTAGGTTAAAAGTGTCAATCTAATAAATTTTTATTGGCCTTTTTATGAGACCTTTGTATGAGGCTTTTTAATATTATTGAAGTAGTGATAAACTTTATTAAAGATTAAAAAACATCTTGAATCAAGAGAAGTTGGTAGAGGTACAGTACTTACAATAACTAGAGCAATGTACAAAATTTGATTTTAGTGTAATTGTCAATCTGGACTATTTTTTGGTTTCAGTTATGACACACACCATGTGTGTTGTATAATGTATCGTTTTCATGTAGAATATTTATGATAGACAACCACATAGAGAGAGCAATGCTGACTCAACTTCGGGGAGCAAGATTCCAAAGTCTGTCGCATTTTTCTTGCACTTTTATTTCATGATTAGTTCGAAAGCACAGAGGCAGTGCATAAAGTGCATGCTGCACTATCAAATTATTTTTTTAAAATAATTTTCCTAAATGACATATTTATAATATGGTATTTAATTTGAGATACAGTGCCATCTTGCATTTAAATTGCCAACTGTTAAGTAATGATCTTGTCAGTTTAACAGGTGATAAAGTAAAGCGTTCTTGGCAATTTGTCATTCATTTTTGCCAATCATGTTTCTACAAAGCATATGTCATAACCTTCAATCATTATTTGACAAGTCTAAATATACTGGTAGTACTGTAGGCCTACCCCATTCACTTCCTTAGCAGTATTGTATTTCTGATATTTGTTTACTTTTTTTTATTCAAAATCAATGACAAATTTGAATGCTCTTACTTAATGATGAGAAGCTAATTCGCTTGTTAGGAAGTTATGCTGGTACAAAAATATTGTAAGGAAAAAGAAATTATTGTAATGTCTTGAGATAAGATAGCAATTATAATGTTTTACTGTCATAATAAGGGGCCTAATGTAGGTATAGTAAATTTGAAGTAAGTCTAGTATATTTTACACATCAGTATATGGATGTATGTGTAGTATAATAAATATACTTTGATACACTTTTAATACAGTACATTAAAATTTAACAGAATTTTCAAATCATCCTAAAATTAATATTAATTATCAATAATTAGATATCATCATAATATATCTGTATCAGTTAATTTTTATAAGGTGTTACGGTCATATTTATTTGAAAATTCTATGTCACATTTACACAAATTTGAAACAAAAAGTACTGGGGCCTAATGTACTGTCTAATGCCATGTGCTTTTTATATTGTATAATAAATGTGTAAAGAGAACCTGTTTAGTATACTGTTGTTCTAATGAAACCAGTTATGCTTTAAAAAGTAGGTCTCATATTGATGATTAGAGAGTAGAGGTGTTTTGCTTGTTAGAAAAATTAATTTTTTAACCAGATAATGATCTAAGCAGTGTAGCCTGGGATATACAGAGTACTTTTAGAAAATGTGTTATAATGACCATCACAAAATTTGTCAAGTTTTAATTAAAATTGTTATCAGTAAGGTGTGCCATTGTTACGGTCTAAAAGTACATAATTGTGCAGTTATTGTTTTCAGGAAATGTTACTTATAATCTGGCAATAGGCCGTTTGCAGTAAGCTAATGTGTTTTTTGGTTATTAGAGTTTTGCGATGATGTTTACATCATTCTGAATTAATACATTCATCTGTTATTGCAGTGTTGATGATTCCTCTTTTTGCCAATTATCTTCTTTATTACATTATAGTCCTGTTCCTAAATACATTAGCTAAACCTTAATTAGGCTGTTTATTACAGTTTTTGCTAATGAATGTTGTTATCTGACGGTTAATTGATGTTCTTGAAGTTATAATATTTAATCAGGATGTTTAACCTTTGATAACCTCAGTGTGATGTAAGAGGTTAGTGCAAATGTATCTGCATGTTCAAGAACCAAGATACGCCAGCGAGGGGCAGGGGATCGATTACCAACTGTAGAACAAGCTGTGCCCCTTGACCTAAAGAGGGGTATATTGTGAATGTGTAATTACCATCTCCTTAGATTTACGACAAAAAAAATATTTTTTTCTAAAACATTCCTCCAACCCTTTCAAGAAACATGTAGGTTTATTTGGTATCTACCATTTAGTATTTTCATCATATTAGCTAATTCTGTGTTGCTACCTGGAATAAAGGTCACGATGGCTGCACTAAGGTCTCAACTGTCAAACCTGTTATGACCTGTTTTGAATGATGATAAAAATCTTTATAACAATACAGACTATTGTGTGCACAGTTTTCCAGGCTCCATCATCCTTATATCAAGCACTGTACTGGGAATGGATTGTATGCAAATTAGCATTAGATTGGAAGATACTGCAACTACTTTGAACGTGTTATAGCTTGAACAGTTTCGGATAGCTACAGTAGAACTAGATCTATATGAAACATTGCATAATAATTTACAGTTACAAAAGCATGCAGACATAATTTGTGCTTAATTTAAATTATTATTTTTGTGCTAGTGTCCAACTTTTAATGTTTGTGTAACAACATCAGTTTTGTAAAAATGATATCTTATATTCAAAATCTTTTTATTTATACAATATTTCAAGGGGTAACCCAATTGATGTTACTAATTATTAGGGATTCCTTTGAAAAAAAATGACATGTTTGTGATGGTCTTAACCTTCTAATTTCATAAGTATGCCAAGGTTCTTAAAAAAAAGTTGACTGACTTCTGTAGCAATGACTTATTTCTAAAGCCAGATGTTAAAACACTAGCAGATATTGGCTCAGTGACAAGTGTTATTCAATATATAATATTATTCCAGAAGGAAATAAGACGAGGTTCTAAACTGTTGATTTGTTTCCAAAAACGGAAAGCAAACAATCAGCTGTTTTAAAGTTTTAGGGAACCCTTGGATTTTCAGCACAACAATGGGGGGTGATTATATTGCTGGCTATCATATTGTGTAATCTTTGATTATACTGTACCTTGAATTTGGTGGCATTGCCTTCATATATTGGAAAGATAAACAAAAGTGAAACAAATAAATAGGGTTATTATATTTGAAATTGTTTATAATCGTGTTGCTGGCTTACTATTAATATTGTGCAATTTTAAAATGATAAATAGGTTCACTTTTGAATACTAAAAAAACATTTTCTGCACATAATATATTTCATTGTTTAGAATCTACTTGCTATGGGATGGCGGCTGCGGCATCACTCTTATCTTGCATGGTTTTATCGGGGTAATTTCTGAATAAAGAAGTATCTTTGCATTAGCTGTATATGTTGTAGTCCCAGTGTATATGTAATTCTCTCAAAATTTCAATTGCATTAAATTTAATGGTAAAATAATACAATGCTATATGTCACTCATCCATCCAGGCCACATCTTTTGTGCAAATTTTTAACCCATCTGTTAACATCCTTGGCAGGCACTTCCTCTTCTACTTGGCAGTGTAGCTGTTTGCAAGGAGGTGGATGGACAGCAGCTCAGCTTTTGCTGCCAAAACAAGTTTAGATGAACTATACCTGCATTTTAAAAAGTGTCACTTGTAAAGTGTATGTTCAAATGCATAAAATTACTCCTTTTCCAATAATAGAGCACTTCTCTGGAAGTTAAAATTGCTTTAACCTGCATATAGATTTGTCCCATACCACATGCTAAATTTTAGCCGAAAATTTAGTGAGTGCAATGACTATGTGTGACATCATACTAGATCTTTGCATCATCAAGGAATTGAAAGCACTGCAATATGTCTGTTAATTATTTGTATTATTTGTTCATCATATCCTTTCATCTGTTAATTATTTGTATTATTTGTTCATCATATCCTTTCAGAATTTACTCATATTTGTAATTGCAGTAAAAAAAAAAAATCTGACAAATTTTGTTAAAAGTGCAATATTGTTTGAAGGTAATAATTATTCCCTGTAACACTTGTGAATTTTTCGAAATTGTATATTAATACAGAATTGTATAACATTTTCGTGTGAATTTTAATGCAATATTCAGTCTAAATAATGGGGCAGTAAAGTTCTTCCTATGCTATCTTATCAGTAAAACGCATGTGCGACATTGAATATGTATCTTTGTTTTGCAAATTATATGTTTGACATCATCTTCTGTCAAACTGAATTTATGTATTCTGTGACTGTTATCACATGCTATTTAGGTGTATTGTATTAAAACATTGTGCTGAACCAGGTGTGTTTACATGAAAGACAGCAGGTTGACATTACATCTGTCAAATTAGTATTTAAAATTCCAAACCACATAAAGTTCTGCACCGATTTTTATTGACATTAATACAAGATTACCGTTGATTGACAACCAATCACATCGTTGCTAAAAATGGGATGTTGTTCTGCATGGCTACACAATAGCAAATTATATATTTATCAGTACCTGAAGAGTCTGAACGAAGTTCATTATGATAACAGACAATCAGTGGAGACACTTCAAGAGAATTTATAAAAGATAGTGAATATAATTGTAGTTCCTCTATCACAAAGCTCTGACATGATGATTGCATAAACGCCGACATCTGCCCATCGGCCCAGTCTTTTATGTATCCACTGCGGTATGCTTCACAGTGATTATACACCCTCCTTCTCAGAAGAGGACAAAATGGCAGGTTCCTTCAATGACCTGTTTGGGAATATATTATATTCATTAGTGGAAAATATGTTAATGGTCTTACCAACAACGGTAAGTTTGAATTTAGAAAGGAATTAGGCTTATTCATATTGGGCATTAGTGATTGAATTCTATAATGGAACAATTTGTCATTAATAGGGCCTTATCAGGGATCCCAAGTCTCGTAAATCTGGAAAATTTGTACGCTGTAGTCTCCGCACGCCCACAAATTAATAAATAAACTAAACTAAATAACAAGTCTCTTGCCTCTCTCTTCCTTTATTAAAGGGAGCAAAGAAACTAATTCTATGAAAGAAAAATATCAATATTCAATTAAAAGGTCTAGCATGGTTTAAGCATAGTTAAGCTCAATGCACTGCTTTAACAAATGCTACTGATCAAAATGCATGTTCAAAAGAGTAAATTTAATAAATAGATAAAGTAATTAAAATGAAAAAAACATTATTGTATGCCTACAAACATGCATTATTTATTCAAGTTGTTTGCCTTTACCGTTTTATAAGGATGACTTTAGAATCATACAGCATTTTGCAAAATTCATGTTGCCTACTATACAGTGTCACAGATACTGATTATTTTATACCTTATGATTTATATTTAAATTTTTCAAATTGTTTTAAAGGTTTATGGAATCTTAACTACTCTATGTATAATAACATGGCATTTCAATACCATCTCATTTTGGCTTGCTTTCTTGAAACCCAGCCAAGTAGATTAAGCTATCCCTGTGATTTAAAAGCCAAGCCTCACTCACACCCACTTATTTGTCCAATCACATTGTTTATTCATTGATACTGGAAGTGATCCAACTCACAATCAGCTGATCAAAGAGAAAGCCAGTCATTCTGAATGAGCACATTCTACCTGCCAGTCAATATAGACCACATTTTACACACTACCAGATTTGTCCTGAAATCTAGGAACAATCATGATGACTAAAAAAATACAGAATAGAAAAATAATAAAAGAAGTTGTAAACATCCCAAATAACTCAAGTTATGTTGAAAGTTATATGATTTTTTAAATTTTATATTCTCCTTTTTATTTTCCAGTTTATTATAAAATGCAAAGTATAATCTACAAAGCTATGAATTTAAATTATATGGAGATTAGAAAGAAAATCTGCTATGATGAATTATACTTAAGCTTTTGTGGAGTATAGCAGTGCTAATTTCATGGGAGTAATGAAAGTAATTAAAATTGTAATGAAATGCAAGAATAATATAAGTTAGTGCCATAAACATGAAGAATATTATGGTGTATATATTATCTATGTATTCGGATTATGAAAAATGTTTGCTACGCTGGGATCATCTCCAGAAAGCTAATTAACTGTCATTAATTAATATGAACCTATATTGCTTTGCATACCATAAATAACAATATGAATATAATTAATTGGTTAGTTAATTAACTTTACATTTTTACGGATCAGGATTTCTTTGAATTTTATGGTTTATAAACAGCACTTAAAAAAGAATGAAAATTATTGCAACCAGGTGTCGGAATTATATGTGTGGTCTAAATTGTTTCCATAACCGTTTCAAACGTAGGTGTGGTTGTTTTCATTTAGAAGTAAAATGGTTGGATGTTTTGTTTACATGGAGCTTTTAGCTAATCATACATGTTTTTGTTGGTTATTTTATTTAAATAAAACACCCAATTTTCTATAAATGAAAGGTTGAGCAAGTTTCCTACTTTTTCCATACTGTAGTGTAATTATTAATTACGGCTATTTGTATCTGCTCATCGCAAGTATTTTTTCTTTTTTTAGGAGCACTATCTTCTTTTTCATTGTCTTGATTTAAGTAGGATATGATATAACAAATCTAATGAACTTGGCTCCATGCCAGAAGAAATGAAGAGCATTGGATGAGGAGGGTGGTAGTGTGCCATCTGCGCAGCATCAAAACTAACCATTGGTTACTCTATATTTGCTAGGTTTTCTTAAATAGTAATTAACTAGAATTTCCTTTTTCTTGGAACATTAAGCAGTCTAGATAATCTATATGAAATAGCATAAAAGTCTCAAGACTCCATAGGAAGGAAACTGCTAATGACGAACCGCATGATTCATTTTTATTTTTTTTAAACAGTAATAGTTACTGTACATTTGTGCGTGCTTCCCTCTGAAAAGTCAAAATAAACAATAACAATGATTAATTCCATGTGGATGTTGGGCTGCCGTGCTCAACCATGTCATGTGAAATTCTGCGCAATTGACCACACTGCCGTTGAGTGATGCACATACCCACGGGCCAGCTCTGAACACAATGCATCTCGGCAAAGAGTTGTACAGACTCCGGTGAGTCACCAATTAGAGCATGTCTCCAAGAAGACCTCAGATGCCAACACAATTTCTTCAACATTTGTTTAGAATGGCTTGCAGAACTCCGTATCACAACTGTTCAGAGATAAAAAAGGTTGTTCGATAAGTTTCACAGACAGTTTCCTTCCAACTCTTGAGGCTAAACAAAGTCTTGCGAAATCTTCTGAGACTGTTAGTTATTGTTGAAACTTTGTCGGAGTAACTCTTGCCACACAATGACTGGAGCTCCGGTGCACCTCAATGATCTGCTGAATTATATCAGCAAATATGCTACTTCTTATTTCAAGGTAACTCGCTATTATGCAACGCACTTGTTATATTACCAAGAGAATCTGTGATTCATTTTGCATGTTGGCTCTTACATCCAGCTCGGTGGTAAAGGCTTATATACGGTAATCTGTGAAGTTCAGTGTCAGCATTAGCTTGGTGATGTATTGTTTAATACGAATTGTGCCTCACAAGGCATACTATAGTTTCTATATTTTTGGATTATTTCCATTTGTAAGATCATTACATTTCTAGGTTTTAGTTGTTAATGGAAGTGCACATGTACTGTAGGATTGGAAAAGTAGTTTTGGTTTTTGTGATTTATCGGGAGAATATCTCGTGGCTGTAAATGTTTTCTTTTTATTATGTAATGTAAATTGTGCTAAAATCAAATACTTGTAAATATCTCTTCAAACTGTACCTTTACTTTTGAATCTTGTTAGTGTTTTGATTTTAAATTGTAGCCTTTATAATTGAATTTTTTCTTAGGATATTTTTTGAGTGAAAGTGTCACTGTTATAATCATGTTTTTTTTTCTTGTTTCTACAAAGACTGTAGTGTAAGTTGTATTGTGTGTTCATGGTAATTCAGATTTATCTTGTTTAGGCGAGACTTTTTTTTTTTAAACCTTGTTTAGCAAACCCGCTAACTGCAAATATTTGATGATTTCAAATAAAAAATTTTTTTTATTTTTGGCCAATTAGGGCACATTCTTACAAAAAAATAGAAGTTTTTCTTTATTTTTATTGCGCCCTCCACTGCCTTGAAATCTCTAAAGATAAATATACTTCTTTCTAATTATATAAATTTAAAGCATTTAACCATCCTATTTTACATTCACCAATAATATTTTATTTTCTCCTCCATCTGGATGATTTTGTCAAAACGATTTGCTAAATAGGGAAACAAAATTTTATTTTTATTCCGCCCTCCTCCGATAATAAGTACGCAAAACAAGGAATAAAAAAATTGTCGCCTTATAGAACAGATAATGTGAAGTGAATAATAAGTATGCATGGTGAATAAATTTATAATCGTACTTGATGTTAAATCCTCTGAAATACTCGTTTAGAGTTTAGACTAACAAGCATGTTGTAACAATTGTTTTCTAATTTTATCTTTCAGTTTAAACAAACAGGAAATCATAATGATGACCAGGTAAGTCTGCCATTCATTGTTAACTTCTCTTTGTTTATTTTAAAATTGTGTACACTTCATTAATTTCAGCCCGAGTCCAGCACTGGTCAAATTGTTTTGTTTCTTTATTTGAGAAATTTTTTTTTGTAAATTTCATAATAACAGAAACAAAGGCAAAAATTTTAATTTAATGGAATAGTATCAGGATGTTCAATGTTGTGATTCTGTTACTTTCTTGTTTTTTTTTCTTAAGAACAATACAATCAAATTAACCACATTAACCAATATTAATAATAAGGTTATATGATGCGGAACTGCGGAAACATCTTTTTTTTGTAGAATTTCTAATGAGCAAATGTAATCTATCCTGTTTTGACAAATAATCCTTGAGAAATTCTTTAAAAAAAGAGTGTAAAATTAGGCTTATTTTTGGATTGAGGCCATTTTAATGAAGAAGGACTAATGAATGAAATGGAAGCTATTAATTTTAGGTTATATGATAGGGTGACACTTTCACGGAAGAGTTAACATTCAATTTAATATCCAGCGATTCTTTGATCATCCAACCATGCTGTCAAATCTTTACACAATACTAGATAAGTCTGTTCGTGTTGACCTGATAAACTTTAAAATTTAATTTCAATATTTGAATTACTTTGTGTATTGGCCTTGACATGCCTAGATATGGTCATGATGACATCACATCATGCCCGTATATAGGCACATCATGACTATATATGGACATACAACTGTTTTTTGTTAAAGAAAATTTCATAGTCGGGACAGATTTTAAAGCCCTTTCGAGACTAAAATTGTGTTGACAACAACATAAAAAAAATGCTTAGATATGATCATCACGTCATGGCCATATACAGGCACATCTTAATTATATATGGGCATACAACTGTTTTTTGTCAGAGAGCTTTAAGGAAATTATAAACTTTCAATTGAATATTATTGCCAAGTTATTGGCCGAGCGGTTAAGTCAGGGGCACTGTAACCTTCAGCTATAATATCGGCGCTGGTTCAAACGGCTCACTCGCCAATGGTTCCGTTGATTGAACAAGTCTTCTCAGATAAGGACTTTAAACCGTAGGTACAGTGTACGCTTTTGGCCCGTGTGCACTTTAAAGAACCCAGTACATCCTTTGACAAGAGTAGGGGGTTACCCCGGTGTATTGGTCCATTCAGTCCCCTGTCGTTTAATGGATATGCCACGTAGGATAGTGATTAAGTTCACTGATTGCCATATCCTTGGCAGTCGTGCCTAAGGAATGAAATAAAAAAGAAATTTTATTTGTTTCATTAATGTGCATACCATTGGGAGTGTTTTACAGATGAGATTTCTTATAATACTGAAATATAACTACGTAATCCTGCATATTTATGCTCTCCCAAAAGATGTTATACTTCCTCTGTTTGCCCATGGAGGTATGACTGACTAGACGACCTTTGTACCGTGCTGGGCCTTGTAAAATGAAGGACAAAATATTCCTATAATGATGAATATCATTATATTTTATGTATTTTTATAGGCCCTAAATACTTGCGCTATTGGAAGTGGTTAAACACCATTGAAATAAATCTACTTAACTAAGGACATCTGAAATAATATATCAATTTTTTTTTTTTAAGGAAGTTTGATTTGATAGTTTATAAATTTCATTTTGTTACCTCATTTCTTTTCTGTAGGTTCAACAAATGTATATAGAACAGTTCATTCAAACAAGTCGTCTAGACCATGTAACGCAGGTCATTGGACTTCATCCAAAATATTTAAACGCCTTCCAACGGACCCATAATTTTATGTTGCGCGGTGATGGCCCCCTGTCCTACGACTACCGCCACTACATTGCAGTTTTGGTAAGGTTTGCAAATTGGAAGACTAGAAAAATTTCTTTATCATTATTCATGTTGTATATGTTTTATAACTCTAATACTCTTCTCTTGTTGATTTTTGTGGAAAGGCAAACGAATACTGGTGTTACTTGGTACTTCTATAGTGCTTATTCCTTGCCCATAATATGAACGTAAAAGTTGGTTTTTTGGAAGAATATTTGTTTTTATAAAATGTTCGCAAAACCCTTTGACATTACATTTGAAACACTTAAAAGAACAATAAATTGCCATTATAGAATGCAAATATTGACAATTTGAAATACAAAAACATTTTATGCGAACTACAGTTAAGATACATAGTACTGGACACAAGTTGTGATTTCATGCAATGTTATAACTACTTTTGAATCACATTTAAAAAAAATGAATATTTCCAATTTAGTGTATGAATATTTTGCAATAAAATACAAATACGATTCATACAACTAAACATTTAAGATATGTGATACTGGATGGTAACTAGGATTTCATTGCACCTTACAAATCTCATTACGTATTATATACAGTTAAAAAAAAACTGAATATTGCTAATTTAAAATACCAACTGTACCATTACCAATATTTGCAATATCTGCATTCACTACAAACTACTTTACAAATCAGTAATTTATACAGTATCCTGATGAAATGTTAAAACTATTTAAATGATATGATAATTGTGGTAGTGATACACTGCTACAGTATTATTAAACGCATTGTAATATAATAGCAATAATCGTTTAATAATAAATATAGTGGCTGTAAGTTTAAAATATTAGGAATTTAGCAATGTTTAGTTTGGTCCAACTCTACAAGTACTGGTATTAGTGGTATAGCAATTGAATGATGATTTTTGGAAACATCACACACATGTGGACGATTGTATATTATTTTGCAGCTAGGAACTACAGTGTGTTAACTTCTTTGCTGATGCAATCATTCACAAATTTTGGAATAAAGCCAACTTTGAAATGACAGTGCCAAGTAAACGAGGGCAACACTTTATAATGTCAAATTCTTTTAGCCACAGCTTCATCATTGAAGCCATCATGTAGTTACGGGAAGAAACCATTAAAGAGGAGATAATGTATTATCAAGGTTTCTTTGCTATATTTCATTATTTAAATGTAGTCTAGACTTCTTGAAAAATGGCCAATATGATAATTCCGAAGTTAAAGTCCGCTAGGTTGTGTATATCTGTTACAATTTTTGTATGGTTGTCAAAGACCACTAGGTCAACTCCACAAAGTTTTCTGAAGAATGTAAGTTATCACCATGGAGGTGTCTACAATAAACAAATTCATAGCTTGGCCCCCAACAATGGTGAGGCTGACGTGGGTAAATTGCAACAGTTGCCCATTAATTTAGTTTGGCCCAATGAAAAGTTATTCAACCTTTGGCCTAAAAATTATTGTTATTTAATATCAGCTAAAGTTAATATACATTCAAAATTAAATATAGTTTAGTTTAACTTCTATCAAACACAGTTCCATAAATTTACCAAATCAGACATTTTGTATGTGTACATACAAAAAAATGAAAATGAAAGAACAAAATAGTTGAAAATGATCCATTTCATATATAATACTACTGTATGTCAGGTTTCTACTAATTACATTGTCATTGTGACAAATGTTTTTTTTTTCTTTTTGTCAGTTATCACTTAATTTAAATGAATATCTATTCGGAATCTAAATATATTGTTTAATTACACTGTAAGTCGATATCCACCCACTTGCCAAAGGCATCTGATGATCTTAGCAGTCATTCATTTTTTCGAAGGTTCAATAAACAACAATACATTCTGCTTCCTGTGAATACAAATCTCCCCTCCCACCTCCTACCCCCGCACATATATTGAATTTTATTTTAGAATTCTTCTATAATGCAAGGCTGAAAGTCACGCTAGGTATAGGCTACTCATAGAAAAATAGTAAAAATTGATGATTTGAAGACAATTAAATACATAAAAAATATTTTAAAAGTTTTTGTTTATATTAGCTTGAATGAAAGTGAAATTAATTCATACCTCGCTGATTTACAACATTGAGTATTCTTTCGTCATACTTTGATGTTCGATTTTAATTCTTTCTGCCCCTTGTATGTTTTGATGTTCATGATTGATTTATATTTTTATTGTCCTTTATTAAGGTTATGTGAATGAATTGAAATCGAAGTTTGAATTATTCAAGAATTCTGGATAGTAGACATTTTTTATTCTGTCTATTGTACACTGTATATTGTCCATTTTTTTGAATTTTTTGCCATTTTTTATTCTATATATTTTATATTTATGTATATCGAATTTTATATACTCTCCTACTTGGAGGCTGAATTTGAATATATTTTAATATTCCATTTGTACATTGTGCAATATCTTAAAAATGTGAAAAAATGTATGATAGTCTATGAAATGGTTAAAATACATACATATATATATATATATATATATACTGTATATATATATATGTATATATATATATCAATATTCACTTGATGTAGAACAAATTAGTTCTATACACTTTACAAAAACACCTCAACATATATTTTAATATGGTTGAAACTATGGCGATAAATATTGACTTTGATGTGAAGTAGTTAGCTCTATATTGTTGCCTTTAACACCTTCAAGATAGAGAAGATAATTTAAATGAAAGTACAGTAAAATTATGGATAGCACATTCAACGACGTCACGTGACATTTGAATGGCTTTCTGTTCAATAACGTTTAGGTCACGAGATATTTGGATGGAATCCCGCTGTACTGTATGGAATTTGACATGTTTATGGTTTCAATTAGTATAATGGAGCATTACACAGTTGTATTAGTGGGTGTAAAATGATATTTCATAGACCTGTTAAGTCATAGTATATCACTTGGGTTCACAGGCTGCTGCCAGACACAGATGTGCCTATGTTGTCCGGCTTCAGGAGAAGGAATTCCTGTGCCAGGGAGGTGATCCAAAATGGCTTGAAAGTGTCAATAACATACCACAGAAATTAAAAGATTTGTATGAAGTGATCAAGATCCTAGCCCACCAGCCATGGTTAATAACCAAGGAACATATTGCGGTAAGATTCTTGATTAATATTTCTTTATTGCCAAAAAGAAGCAAACAAAATGGCGAATTCAAGTGCCGGAAGGGGTACTGGTCTCGTTCCCCTCAGCAACAGCAACACAATCTAACCGTGAAATCATTTAGATAAGCGATTAAAATGACTGACCCTTAAGCTTCCAGTAGGACCTATCTCAAATTCTCTCCCCTCAGACTATGGTCCTTTTTGGCACTCCCCCACCCCACTCTTTAGAAGCATCCTGGATCGAGCCAATGAGATAAAGCCAGAGAACCCACTCCTTATTACCTGTAGTGGATAAAGAATATCAACAATAAAAAAACCTATATAATTATAAAGAATATCAATCTGTATTTCTATAGACTTAAGCAAAATTAGATAAGCTAAGATGATATCCTTTTCCCATTTTCTATTTTGGAAAGATGGTACTTTTTCGTGTTGTGGTAAAATGACAGATTCAAAATTCAGTTTTGATAATGCTAGCCGGGTTTATCTGTCTCATTTTAAATTGATATACTTAATTGATTTGAGCAATTAAATGTGTTAATTTCAACATTTGAGGGTTTTCTAGATCATAGACAGTATATATGTTACTATTTTTTATACAGAAACTCCTTAAAGGTAAGGATAGTTGGTCGCTATCTGAACTGGTTCATGCCATTGTGATCATGGCGCATTTCAGTGCATTGGCTAGCTTTGTATTCGGTTGCGGTATCAATCAGGAGGTAGACATGGAAGGGGGGTACACTGTTCAACCGACATCAGTTTCCGAGAACGGTAGTGATTCAACCGATGATTCTTCTAGTAACGGTCTTTCAAATGTAAGCTATATTTTTTTCTGCATTAAAAAAAAAAAATTCAATCATGACTGGTTAAAAGTTAGTGACATTAATTTGACATCTTACTTGCAATGTTTCCTTTACATATTGATATAATTTTCTGATTCATGGTGTATTCGTAAACTAATCCTACATTACTGTAGAACATTAAAACAGTAGTCATGTTTATAATATTGTGAATCTTGGATAAACTAACTAATTGCAGGGCTCAATTTAGTACTAGTTCGTTGTACAATGTCTAGTAAAAACTCCTGGGCTAGTAAACTTATTACTACCCCTGGTGGGCCGATGATCAGTTTTAGACTATTGCTTGAAGTATGCTTGGCCAAGAACTTAAAGTTACTGATGTAAAATGTAACCAATGATTGGGCTAGTAAAATAGGCAATGGGCTAGTGAAATATACAGTAAACTAGCCCAGTGGGCTAGTCACCAAAGAAAGTTACATCAAGTCCTGAATTGCCTATTGTCTCTCAAGTAAGAATACCTCTCAAAAATAGAATTGAACTTTGGCCCATTGCACCATACATGAACATTCCAGAAGCACGTAGCAACATCCTCATTCTTTTTCAAAAGAGAATTGTGATAAGGCGAGAGTTTTTTTATACTGTACCTTGTTTAGCAAACTTTTTTTTTTAAAGATCGTCAGAGAAGGGTAAAAAAAAATGAAAATAAACTTTTGATTTCTTAACAAAATGATTTTGCCAAAAGCATCTTGGCGAACGAGAAAATAAAAATAAATTGTTAATGAAATGTATAAATTCTTTAAATTTATATAATTAAAGAAAAAATACATATATTTTCTTTTTGGAGATTTCAGGGGAGTGGAGATCGTAATAAAAATAAAACAATTATTTTTTAATTACCATTTTTCGTGGCAGGGGGTGCGCTAACTGGCCAAAAATAAAGTTTTATTTATATTCAAAATCGCTGTTATTGGTGATCGGAGGGTTCACTAAACAAGGTATAAAAAAAAGAGTCTCATCTAAGACATTGCCACAAGAACATTAAACTACTCAACATACTATTGGGTTTAGGACACACAATTATCAGAGGCTACCGTGGATGAACTAATGTCAAGGATGAAGAAAATAAATGAACAAGAAGAGGAGGAACTCAGCCAGGAAGAAAAAGTAAAAAAATTTGAGAACATTGGCAAACAAAATATAGATTGTAAGTATTGAAAAAAGCAATGAATGTTGTATTAAATGATAGTACAATATCATCTTTATCATCAGTTGATCTTGCTCAAATTATGTCAACAATTGCCCTTTTATATTTCTTTGACCTTCAATTTGATTTTCAGTTCATTTGAATTTGGTATCCTTCTCTTCCCCTTAATTTCTTTCTGTGCTGTGGATTCCAGTAGATTGACTTCTATTTTTTATTGAAGTAAATTCAGCATCTACAAATTGACCCAATTTTTTTGTTGAAGGGATTTATTGCTGTGTTCATAATATTGGCTTTCTTCAGGACCTGAGTCCAGTAGATTGACTTCTATTTTTTATTGAAGTAAATTCAGCATCTACAAATTGACCCAAATTTTTTGTTGAAGGGATTTATTGCTGTGTTCATAATATTGGCTTTCTTCAGGACCTGAGATAACTACAATGACACAGCAAAATCAGCTATTTTTTTTTAAACCTATTCATATTTGCAATCCTTTAATTGTCACAATTGCTTCAGTTGTGAAACTGAATGCCTTTTATAGCCAGCTTGGCTAAACTTCTGACTGCAAAAAATAGAGAATTGAATGTAAAGAATTTAATACATAATAGGTTGCAAATATGGATAATTTTTTATTCCTGATGATGACACAATTAATGTTGAAATATTGAATCCCAACACGATGGCGTGCATTTCGATACTTGGAGTATGTATTATACTATCATGGACCTATTAATAATTAATTATTAATAGGTCCATAATACTATCTAATAGGTTCTCATGTTTAGAAGTTATATTTGGATAGACATTGTACAACAAAATCAATACAAGTCTGTATTGGACATCACAGAGCTCAATTATTTTAAACAAATTTATTCCAGACAAGTCTAGACAGTATTTATTGGTCTAATGAAAAAATTATGTATTTACTTTGGGCATTTGGCAAAATTCAATTTTGGATAATGCTTAAGGAACTTAAAGTGCATCTTAAGCAGATGAAGACTATGTGCAAAAAAATAACATCTGCAAGATAAACGAGTAAATAAAAAAGTTTATATACATAAAGTATTATAATAAAATACAAAATATTGATCACATGATCAAATTAAATAATTACAATAAACATTGTCATACAGTATTCGCCTTCAGTTTCCAATTATATTCTTTTTAAATAATTATGTTTACATTGGGATCAGCATATTGGTATTGTACAAAACTCAAATTGAAATGAGAGCACCCTCTATAATGTTTGCTAACATTGTGTGATGGCAAGTTTGACCTTTGTATGGACTTTTGAATATAATTTAATTTCGTAATTCGTGGTAGAGATTATATAATTTTTTTAAATGCTTTTTAAAATTGAATCAGAACCTATTTGTTTCGGCCTCGGTGTAAAATTTTATAGATCCATAAAAATCAGAGACAGCCAAAGTCATGTTTGAAATTTTAATGAAGTGACATTGTAGGTTCTAACATTAAAGCAGTACATATATGATATATATTACATCTGCTGTATCATGGTGTGCTCCAGTATTCATCACAATTATGAGGTCAACCAATAAAAACCCTAGATTTATTTTATGACTACCCTGGGTTTTGTTGTAATGACTACCCTGGGCAGAACTCTGAATAAGCCTCAAATCATTTGCAAAAAGTTGGTTGATGATTTAAATTTCTACAACAGTTTTTACAACATTAGTAGAGACACATAACCTTTGTATTAGCATGACTGGCATAAGAAAGTGCACAATAATAATGTTAAACCTCTAATGCATACAAGGTGGCTATGTTTGTAGTTTGCCTAGGAAAGATGACAAACCAAGTACACTGAGACATACAACAGATAACCAGATCTAAAAACAACAAGATGGCTTATTTCAATTGGGGTCATATAATGATAATACATCATTCATCACAATGGTAGTTGGGGGAGTTGTAGGCTACTAAAGACTTGGTTGGAATGATCTGGCTCAGGGCAAAATTCATTGCAAGTTTAACACCAAACCAGTCTATCCTATGCTAGCATCCAAAAACAGACATTACTTTGTGACCGATGATCTCCTAATTAAATAAATAAATTGGAAGTATTTTGTTGTTCTTACAGTACCCCAGCCAAGTAAGGAAGTGTGCATGACAAAAGTAGATGTCACTCAATACGTAATTGAGCCAGAATTTACTTACACAGATTTCGTAAAGCGAGGCGAAATTGGAAGCAATACCACTTTTAGAGCACAAGTAAGAAGCCTAATTATTTTCCTTTCCATGATAAAAAGAAACATCTTGTCAAATGTAAAATTCTCTCAGTTTATTAATAGTCATGAAAAGTGTAAAAATAAATAACATATTTAAAAGGAGAGATATTTACAGGCTGAAAATCTAGGAATCAAACCAGATGTTTGATAACAAATGTAAAATATTCATTTCAAATCTAGCTACTCTTAAGATATAGTTTTCTAGTTTTGATTGTATAGAAGACAGTAATGAATTTCTCCTCTTTGGTTCTCTCTTCCAAATGAAAATTCTTCAAATAACTTTTTATTAAGCAAAACAAAGCAAAAACACTTGAATTGAATGTCATTGACAGAATAGTTTCATTAGTTATTGTAATTTGTGATATTTTTTTCAATGATTATAATACATTTTTATTTTATTTTTTAGGACTATGCTTGGGAGGACCATGGCTATTCACTTGTGAACAGGTTGTACCCAGATATTGGGCCACTACTTGATGAGAAATTTAGTATTGCTAAAGATCTCACTTATAACACGTAAGCAATTGTCATGTACCTACAAAACACAGTGTAGTTCTTACAAAGTTGTTTGTTTAATGTCACCAGTTTAAAATGGGAAGCAAATGCTTCTAAGCCATGTTCACACTGATGGTGTTTGTTTTTTTGGTAAAACTAGCTAGCATCTTGGTTAAAATGTCCACTGCAAACACCCTTAGAAAGTTTCCTCGGATAACTTACCTGTGTCGCTCAGTTATCTTATTAGAAGATTGACCAGGCTACTGTAGTTTTACTATAAAAGCTAGAAAATCCAGTGTGAGTATCACAACTTGGTTAAATCTTCGTAATTGCTTGTTAATACCACATACATTGTGCTTTTTATAGAATGTATCAACAGATAGACTGATCATGCATTTGCAATATCTTACAATCTTAAAACTTACTGTGTATTTAAATCCAAGTGTGAGCAGCAGTACGATTTGACCAAGGAAAATTTACACTAGTCTTGGTCAAAATTAATGAAATGCAAACACACATGGCTAAATTTGTTTCTATCTTTCTGATTTGTTTAGAATGGGAAATAAACAAGAGGTTGACACTTCACTTTTACGTCAAGTCATTTGGATCTATATCCATTCGTTGTTTGGAATTCGCCATGACGATTATGACTATGGTAGTGTTAACCAACTGATGGAACGATCTTTAAAAACATACATTAAAATAGTAACCTGCTACCCAGAAAGAACAACTAAAAAGGATTATGACAACTTCTGGAGGGTCTTCAAACATTCAGAAAAGGTGAGCAGTTTATTTTTTTATTATTATTATTATTTTAAGTTTCTATTCAAGTTTCTTTTAATATTTGCAATAGAATAATTGACATGAAATAATGATTTAATTCCGTCATAAATTTTTTATCTTTTAGGTCCATGTGAATATAATGATCTTGGAAGCACGCATGCAAGCTGAACTCTTGTACTCTTTACGTGCCATCATGCAGTATATGACGTGATCAATTCGTATCCAGTTATAATATCTTACGCTGAACAACCAAAGAAGACATAATCTGCAGCACAATGAAGAGTCACCAGTTGACTTACTTCAATATTTCTGTGTAAAAAGTCTTGCATGATTCCTTGCTATCAATACAGTCGCCAACATGCTCGGCGGTACCAGCTAGGAACTTAACTACAGTATTACTGTTCATATTTTATATACAACTTGGACACGTGTTATATTATTTTCTTGGAATGGATAGTATCTTGGGGAGATTTGCAATATTTTGATCAAAAAGAAATACCAACTCTGATCCTTGTTACATAACCTACCAGTATCAGAGATTCTATTTTACACATCGCAAGGATAACTTGAAATCAGCTCAATTATATTGTACTAGACTTCTAGGATAAATTGCCAGTAATAAGTTGAATGTAGTGTTAACCCTTTCCGCGCTGCAGTGTGTGGCTCCAGCGATTTTAATAGAAAACCACCAACTTCAAGTGTGCTCTTTTATTGGGTGCAGTCATTCTAATTTTACTTTGAACTTTGACCCAATATGTTGAAAATGATGTAATTTACAACATAATTTACTCTAGAGGGATTGATAGAACTTGAAGGCATCTGTGAACCGCCCCACACTTTAACTGTTGGTTAACTAGTGCGTTGCCACAATGCCCTACGACAAGAAAGGGTTAAACTACCTACCGTTTCAAAAATCTATGCATGGCATTTTCGTAGGTAACTCAATATGTTCTTGCGATTGTTGATTCAGACAAGGCAGAAACCAAAGAAAGTGGATGGATTGTAAACCAAATGAAAATTGCGAGCAGAACAATTTAACATCAAGTAATTCCCGTAGTTTTTGAATCCCAAGTTTGTTCTCACTGCCATTAGTTAGAGCGTTATCTATTTCAAATGAAGGCCAGTGTATGATAGAATTATCAATAGCCGCCCCCACAAATATGCACACTGGTGTTTCAGATGTTATAGGTGCTGATAATCAAACAATGTTGACATATAGTAATATTAAATTATAAATATAAAATTTCAGAATATGAATATTGATATTAATAATTATCATAGGTTTAGATACATTATGCTGCATGCTTCCTGCTGCTGTTAAGGTATCTAAAGTCAGTGAGATTGTTGTCGTTACCTATTGTATATGACCCCCGAACCACGTTGGTCTACAACATTGTCCTTTTTCAACCGTGTGTAGCTCTGGAGAAAACCCTCTACCAGATGAGAAAACAAAATTAGACAGTTGTAAAAGTGATGTCTGTTGTATGCCAGTGTTGGGCAAATGTTAGTTGTTAGTTGCACCATCTTCAAATGAATTTAAAAACAGTGTGTCTAAAGTTGACAAGTTTGACCTGTGTTGGCTAGATCAGTTGATGGTGTTATCCAAATTGTTGATGTCAGAATTATATATTTATTTGAGGGAATGCTGTGCTTTAGACGAAAGTCAATTTCCGGCTGACCTTTCAACATCTAGGTTGAACATTTGCATAGTGTATTGTAATGTTTGAATACATTGCAATGTATTATCGTTGTCAACTTTAATTATTTCTAGAGGGATAATAATCGGTGTATTGTTTTCTAAATTTCTTTATGAAATCCACCATAAATAAGAGATTAAGTAACTGGTGTGTACAGTATGTGGTAATGGAGTATGTAGAGTTTAATGTTAAGCGTACATTGCATTGACTGGTTGGATTAAGTGATGTGATTATTTTCTGAAGTGGGACTTCATTACTAAAATAGAGAGATCCATACCTTCAATTCCTTCTTTAGAAGAGAGCTTAATTGAGCATGTATGAGGGGGTTAATATGATAGATCACAAAGAAATATATGTGAATTTGGATGTGTGGGAAGCAAAGGAAATGGTGTGTGTATCTGTATGTGAGTGTTATAGGCATGATTACAATGTGGTGTGAATTTCGACATGTGGAAAGGAAAAACAAAAAATTGTGGCAGTTAATAAGTTATATCATATACAGTACATGTCAAATATAGAATACAAAATTTATAACAATCTGGTTAAATTGTCAAAAAATTTATGCCAGTACTGTATGTTAGATCAGAGTTGTAGAATTATTTCCATTACCCCTTTGAAAATACCAATATTATTGATATAAGCTCAAATAATTCATATGGTTATTGATTTGGCTCACTAATTGCTACTGCGCTGTTACAGTGTATACATTGTCATTTGTACGATTATTTTGAAGTATACAGTATTTTTCTATGCTTAGAATGTGATGGATGGAATGCTTCAGTGCTTATACCATTCATGCATCAGTCAGAGGGTAACACTATCCTCTTTTGTGACGAAGGCTTTACCCCGTTTTGGTGAGCAATTATCTATAAGGTGGCTTCATTCCTTTTCGATAAGCAAGTATCTTTGGGGTGGCCCTATTTGTTTTTAATCAGTAAGTGACCTGATGATAACTTTATTTTGTGAGGAAACATTTTGAGGGTGGCGCATCATTTTTCAGGAGCAAGTTTTTTTTATTGATCGATTTGTCCCATTCTGATGAGCATGTATCTTTAGTATAGCCTCATCTCATTATTAATGAATCTATTTTAAGGGTGGCTTCAACTTATTTTGATGAGGGATGATCTCAAGTGTGACCTCATTCGGAATGATATCCAACTCTTTGAAGGGTGGCATAAGGAGTAATTATCTTGGTTAACACCCTCCATAGAGGATAGAGTTTTGAGGCCACTTATGAATGATGACCTCAAAATATGCTGATCCATCTTTGTCATAATGAATAATTATCATGAATTTGCACCACAAACTGAAGTTAATGTGAATGTAAACAAGCCTTGTATTATGGTTTCAAACTATCAGCATATAAAAAATTTTTTGTCCAAATTCAAGCAATACAAAGAAGAAAATGAATAAATTTTTTTACAGCAACATTGTTTTGAACAGTGTGGTGTTGATAGTACAGGTTTCCATAATGAATGCTGTTAAATTTGTTTAGAAATGTTTGATACTGTTAAGAATATTTAATTTTATACATTGTATTCATGAGGATTGAAATTACCTGAAATCATATAAAATAGGTTTTTTGGTAAAAAAGGAGAAAGATTGTAAATATATTATTTATTCTTCATTAGCTTATTAATTTACTTGCAAAGTTGATTGCAGCTGCTAATAATAATATTATATTAATATATTATAATATATTAATAAGATATTAACTGTTGAAGTATAATATTTTAAAAGTGGGACTAGCAGACATTGATTTTTAATCACTTCCGAAACGACAGATCTTCCAATGAATTATAGTGCATAGATATTCATTGCATATAAATGTGCAGGATTTTTTGGGAGAGGTGAGATACATGCATTGTTTATTAATTTGGTCTAAAGCTTTGTCTACACCAATGTGACATGTGATTTGACTACATATGGGTGTGATATATTAGGATCATGCCCAAATGAAAGCAAATCAGATATGTCTCAGTTAGTAGTGGAAACAGCTTAATACACCATCAATAATCTTGGTGTTAAATGTGTATCTAAACCACAATAGAACAGGGAAATAATTTCCCAGGATGTTGTGTATGCTAGTAAGTGTATAATGGTATGTTTTTAAAGTGCCACATGATTGGTTTGAATTATTATATAAGTGTATGCATGCTTTATTTGATGTATCTAAAGCTTTGAGCTCTGCGGCAATAAAGGATTTCCAAGCGGTGTGTATAATTGTTCTACAACCTATCTAATCTGAAATTCAATACCATTCCCATTCTTAATCTGTTGTAGTTCACTGTTGTAACTGATGTTAAATAAAACACATCAAATGACCTATTTTGTCTGTCTTTATTTTCTTTCATTTATTCATGCATAAGTCTATTTGTGAATACTTACCGCCATTGGTGCCAAAATCAATTTGTTTTTATTAGTTTTCATTTAGGGACTTGAATCAAGTTTAGCAAATATGTGACTGGCTCTGGCAAAACCAGCCGTTTTTTGTAGGTGCATGAGCGAAAATTATAAATTGCAACAAACAGTGGGCTTTGACAGAGCCAGTTGCATGTATGCTGGTTTTCTTTTTAGATGAATATAATAGCGCACAATCCAATCCAATCTGGTTAATTATAAAGCGCCTTTCTTTACAGATACGAAGTACTGCACCCCACAACCCACAGCCAGTCATGATCAATGCCCAACCCAAGCACAGAACAAGTAAACAAATTAAAAGAAGCAGTGGGAAGGTTCAGAATCATAACAAAATAATACAAAAATAAATAAAATAATGAAGCCTATTAATCAAAGACGTTAGACCTAAAGACAGCCACAGATGGTGAAGATTGAATGTTGTGCACTGGAAGGTTATTCCAGATGAGTGGCACTTCACACGGAAAAGATTTGTTGCCAATACGCTTGTTGATTAATAAACATCGATAATGATAATAAAAATGATTGCTTATTTAAAGGAATCATCAATATTCAATAAGTCAGATTTACGGATGTTTTACTACAAAATTTTTAATTGACTGGCACTAATTTAAAGATATGTGCAAAGGTTATAAAGATCCTGTTAAGTGTTTGGTAATTGGTGGAGATACTTTTTTCTCATTTTAATTTTCAGTAGAATGACAAAAGCTTACTGAAAATATTTAAAGTATTCAATTCACATGGCATTTTCTCTAAATTTTGGAATGTTTCACCTGGCAAATGCGACAAAGAAAAAAATTTTAAATAAAGGCTGAAAAATAAATATTCAAATATGGCTATCTAGTTTATTTAAATTTTTAATCCATTCATAGCATGTGGACAGCATCGTCCTGTCGTTGATTAGCAAGTCTTCCATATTTCATAAAATATCCAACTGAATCAAGGAGTTAAGGAAAAAAAAACACAGTTTTCATTCAAATAATTTACTCCGTACTCCTATCACTAACCCTTGCACACAAATTTTAGAATATGTCTAGTAGGATTTTAGGTAGGTTACAGCAAGGAGGGTTACAGGCAGTAATATTTTAGGTAAGATTAGCAAAATAGGATCTAGGTATGATATGGAAAGTGACCTAATAACTGGCAAGTTTGAGTGTCGTATGTATGCTAGAATTATGTTTGTTCCAGCTAAAAGTACATTGTTTTTTTTATATACAACAAAGGATACTATTCAAGGTAGGAAGGAACACATATCTTCTCCTTTTTAAATTCTATGCTGCATTCCAGTTTCTTTAGTTGGGTTTCATACATTTCAAGAGCTGATGTCATGTTTGCACCATTACCCTTTTAGAAAAACAAAAACATATTTTAGAGTGTCACCATGTCAGAATTTTCAGTGGTATTGCATGTATTCAAAGATTTCATGGCATATCATCCAAAATCAAAGCGTTGCTTTCATAAGAGTAGTTCCTAGCAGTATCAGGCTTTACTCCTTGACGCAGTCTGGTTCTTCGGCATGCTAAAAGCATTTTGGCCTCATTTATACTTCATGCTGACACAAGAGAAACTTCTTTCCTAGAAACTGTTTTTCTCAGCCAGTAAAAACATTGGAGTGCTGCAGTCCTTTTTGCATAATTTCAGGAATCTACTAGAAAAAATTAATAAACTAACCTGTGTGAAGTATTTTCCATCTTGTTTCATTACTTTCATTGACAGATCTAAAATAAGTCGCATAAAATCCCATGCATCTCCTATCAACAAAATTAATGTGTAAGGTCAAAGGTTATGAACACAAGTTCGAAAGGGTAAGAACAAAAATTTGAATAAATGTGAAGGAATGATAAGATGCGTCAAGCTAAAAATAGAAATACGCCCACGTAATATGATGCCATGTCCAGATAAGATCTGTTCTAGAAATAACTAAAATTCAACAACCTGTTGTACAGTTAGTTATTCAAGTGAATTGCCAATACAGAAAGCATGGATGGCTTATGAGTTAAAAGTAGCCACAAAAAATTATGCCACGTAATAGACACACACTCCCGCTGGGAGCCTATTTTTAATATATGGTAGGTTTTTACTTTTTTTTAATTATTATTAATGCGATCTGTGCTTTAATAAACATTGTCCATACCTCTTGATTCAGTTGTTATTGGAATGGCAGTCAAATCATTGATTACATAGTCAAATTGTTTCCCTTCCTCAATAAATTTTCTCATTACAGGCACACAGTCAGCAACAATAACCTATGAAAAAAAAAACATGTTATTAAAGGTCTTTATTTATATTCATATTCATAAAAATTACAAACAGCTGTGTGAAAATGCACAACACATTACATAAAAAAGCAAGCAAGACATTAAAATGCAAGTAAAGACGGATAAAAGGCACAGTACAGGACAGAAAACCTAATTAAACAAGCTAAAAATGGAAGAAATAATAAGGATGTATTATTTTTCATCTTTCCTTAAATAATAAGAAATACTTTGAGCTTACTTCATGTTGAGGACCCTTGAGACTGTCCATGGAATTGTGACAAATACCACGGAGATGTTTGATGGCTTCATCGATCACAATTTGGTCAATGTAACAATAGTTAAGTATCCTCAGATCATAGATCATCAATAAACATGATTATGACATCTCTGGAGGCTTTAGTGCAGTGCATAATCAAGAATGGCACATAACCGAGCATGGCCCTTATTACAAACATTGTACCATTACATAGGCTTTTGTATTATTTAATTCCTGAAAAAACATTTACATTTCGATGATGCAAAATATCAAAGTATGCAGTGTATGTACTCCCAATTTAGTGTTGTAGAATATCTCTAATAATTAAACACAACAGCATTTACTCAAGAAAAGCACTAAGCGGAAAAAATGTTTGATGTGGCCTTTGTTCGAAAGAGAAACTTATTTGAACATTTATGGTATGTGTGTGTTGTTAGAGAAATTGGAAGGCCGCTTGTACACAAGGCAATGATATATTTACTATTTGCCCATTCCCAAATCATCCAATCATAAGGATATTTCCACCATGGTGACAAACTTTGGACTTCCTTGCAACAGCTCATGTAAAATACCACCATCTCCACCACCAAGTATCAGGATCTCCTTGTTAGTATAATCTTCACGTCCATTTCCAGTAATTGCTTTCGTGTATGAAAGATCGCTCTCCGCAAGATCTAAGAAGTAATTCCATATTAAAGAGCCTTACCGCAACCAAATTTAAATGAAATTAATATTTGACTGAATATAATTTTAATAAAACTTATTTAATTAATCTGAAGAATACCATCTAATGTATACCTTCAAAAAATAATGATGATAATACCAGTGAAACAAAATTAAGTAGTACACTCTAATAATAACAAAAATATATCTCACAGAATGTATGACTAGGGATTATTATAACATGGCAGTTACTCAGATTAAGGATACAATCTATTCATAGAGGGCAAAAAAACTTTTTTTTTTTTAGCTTGTACTTACTAACATCATCATCAAGAATCAGCACATTGCCGTACTGAGGTGAGTGCATTATCTTGATATTTTGATAATCTGAATCAGCCTCAAATGTCACTTTATCAAAATCATATTCCACAATCCTCCTGTCACTGGTTGGCAAATAACAGTCCATATCAACTTGATGTGAAATGAATGGAAGCCTGAGAAAAAAAATACAACATGAAAGCCATGAATAATGACCTGACCTATAGTTGATATGAACTGATCTGTCAGTCTAGGCATGTCCGATAGCTTAATCCTCTACCCCTGCCGCTCACCCTGCTACCTGTAAGCATTGGGGGAAGTATGTCACAATAAACTTACCTTTTAGATTTCTTGCAAGCAAGTAACTCCTTCAGTTGCTGATCTAAATTTGTAATATTGTTCATTTGATCATCCTCATTCTGTTTATCTTTAATCCAGAGACATAAATTGACAACCACAGCACCATCAGTAAAGCAGGTGACAGATGCAGATCTTGAAAAATAATAGAAAACACTGAAAAAATTACCATTAAAAAGTCTGCGAATTAGCAAAATATTCTTGCAATCTGTGAAACATTGAAGAAATGAGGAGTAGAGTAGGTTTGTGGTTGCTTGCCTTCCAAACCCAGGGTCCTGGGTTCAATTCCTGTCAGTGTTCCACAATTTTTTTCTCACAACCAAAACAACTCCAATCCCTAAATTCATAGAGACTTAGTCTATATAGAGCATTTTGTGTGTATGGTTTTTTTGTTTCACTGAAATCACACCAAACAAGGCTAGAAAGCCACTTCTAGGTAAGGGGTTACTAGGTACTTATTAAGTACTATTTTATTTTATATGCCATGAAATGTTTGCACCTAGGACTGAATCATAGCCTAAGCCACTTCACAGCCTGTCAACAATACAAGTTGGGGTATCTAAGCAGGGTCAGCCGAGATTTGACAGTGTGTGATTTGAACTCCTGACCACAAGTTCAACAACCAGCATGGAAACCACTGAGCCAAACTGCCTCTCTTGTGGAAGGAATCCTCCCAGTACAGTATGGGGGCTGTGTTTGTCTCAAAGTAACAATGTCATGATTGAAAGTCCAAAGCCTTGACCACTGTGCCACACAGTGTGAGGATCAATGACCATTATCAGGTGATTTAATTTGCAGTATTATAGATAATATACTACAGTACTTAATCATTATTACTTAATCATTTTTGTTACCCGTTTTTGTCACTGGTGAAGGTTGCCAATAACCCAAAGCTGCCTTCTTGATAGTGAGGTTGGCTGTCAAATCCAGCCTCTTGGAACACACCAGATAAACTTTGTTGAAATGTTTTCATGTTCACTGTAAAATACAATAACAAGTATGATTAATGTGATTTGAAAGGATTAGTTAAAAGCAAGATGATCCAGATTGATTGAGTCAACTGTAGTACCATTAAACACATAGAGTGCTAAAGACAAGTTTAGAACCCATCACACTTAATACTTATGTCGGCTCAGGGTTACCTCAAGGCCACCAATGCGGGACCTGAGCCACCTTATCTTCATATCTGAACGTAAACCGAACCTGGGTTGCCAAGGTCGCTTTGATAACGATCAAACCATAACATTTCACACAAAAACCTGGTGCAAAGGAGGAAATGTTAACGTTCACAGTGCGACCCTGAGCCGACTTAAAATACAAAAAGAAACAAAACAGTCGTTGAGTCAGCCATAGTTAAGGCAGCCCTGGGCCGATATAATAAGCATGACTTAGCTCTTATACAACTATGCAACTATATCAGGCTCTTAACCCGGATTCCTAAAGGATGACTGGGGGTTCCCTGGAAAGCTAGAGGGATATCAACCTTCCTAACAGGATCTAGGAAAAGAGTTTGTGTACGGGGTCTGAGGGCAAGGCCTTTGGATAATGAATCTCTTACTTGATTATTTATTACAATGTGGATGTTGTAATATCTTGGACATTGTTGTTTCCAAAACAGAATATTCAGAGTGCATCTCATTAGTGTAGGGGACAGATGGTACGTTACCAGCAATTTAATTTTCCTAATTGTATCTTGCATAAAATTACCATTAAAAAATGCAATTAAAAATGCTTCACATTCTAACTCATAAAAAAAAAAGATTCTAGAATATTCAAAGAAAAAATTGCCACTATCATTCAGGTCCTGAATCAAAGGTTTAATGCCCACCAGTGTATCGTACAGCAAAATTTTAAGATAACTTAATTAAATGATTTAACGGTTCATATAATCAGACCATTCAATTTCTGTAAAAATAATGTCACCCACAGCTACTACTATTCCAGTCACAGAAAAATGACCAATATAATATAATTATTAATCAAGCAGGCCTAGCTAGTCTAGACCTACAGGCTACGAAGGAAATCTAAGGCACGGTGGTGGCACAGCACAGGATATACTCCACCCTAACTAACCCTAGCCTTAACAACATTAAGATAGACTCAAGTTAAGGTTAAGGTTGGGTGGAGTACTAAAAGTGCATTAAGATAGACTCAAGTTAAGGTTAAGGTTGGGTGGAGTACTAAAAGTGCATTTGCGCCAGGACGTCCTCTACCAACCGCTCTCTTTAGCACAATGGCAGGTCTACTGTAACTAAGGCTAGCCCTACCTAGTAATAGTTAGTAGTAGTACTGTCAGGCCTACTAGTACTACCCTAGCCGCTACTCACCTGGATTGGACAATTCTGGTGGCGGATGATAGTGCAGAAGCAACGACTTGGCAGTCATGATGGTATATTTTTGATCGATGATGATTTTAATCAAAATAAGTTACCTAGAGCTATAGACTTACAGCTGTTGTGTTGGTATTCAAACTTTACTGTAGTAGACCGCGTGGGGATTTCCCTTTATTGTATAGCGCCCCCAAACATAAACATATTATCATAGAGATATAATAAGAATAAGAATAGCTCTATGCATATTATTATACAGTAAACATAAGGGCAAATAGAAAATTTTTATTAGATTATCACTCCCGCCCGCGCCAAAAATTTTGGAAATATTGATGCAGGATTAAAAATTTTTTTTTTTTTTTGCCGCATCAATTATAATAATAATAAGATTTATTAAGCGCACATCTCCACTAAAGTGCTCAAGGCACTATTATTATTATTTCAACAACATTAAAATAACAATGCAATTTTGTGACTTCAAATACATTTTCTTTAAAAAACTATACAATTAAACCAGTTTTTATACACTATTTACTATCACTAGCCAAATATAAACAGTCCCTCTCTTATCGATAAAAACAAAAGCGAAATAATATATTGTGCCGATTAAAATAACAAAAACAAAAAAAAAGTCCTTATGGGTGATGGATACCCTGGAGATTTTGCTTGCCTGCTAGATAAACTTTGCTAGTTTAGTTAGCCAATCGTACACTGATTGGATATTCTATATCAAACAAAATATCGACGGGCGATCAAAGGTCGTTCAGTCACATGATCCCGATTCACAACACCACCAACCACCAGCAAAACAAAGTTGTGACTGTGTTAAGAGAAATCGAAGGTGGTTACTTGTTCGTGATGCAGGTAGGCTTTATGTCAGAAACTCGGCTTAAAATCGACATCTGGTGTTGTATTAGGATTAACGATTTTTGGTTTTCCTACCTAACTAAAGTATAACTTGTTAAATTTTGTGTATTGGATGTTCTTCCACTTTGTGCTTAGCCAGGCCTAGCTAAGTTGAAACGGATCATACAGTCGTACAGTGACTGCAGCAGCCGGCTTCCTGAACTTGAAGACACTTTCTCTAGGTAGAGTAGTAGTAGTACACTAGTTAGTAGTAGGCCTAGGCTATAGGCCTGCACAGCACAGAATATATTGTAAATATTGTATAAAAACTATTTTAATTTTTTTTTTAAAGAAAATGTATTTCCAGAAATAAAAAGTTGCCTATTAATTTCAACGATTTTAAAGAAGGGGATATGTTTTGATGGAAGAGAAAGAGTATGTACTGTAACTGGTACTGGGTATTTATATTGCGCCTTTCCCATGCGGTTATGAAGCGCAAGCCAAGTCTGAATTATTAGGAAAACAGTGGCAGGCATAAAATTGGTCATCATTCAGGGACCCCACGCATTGCAATAGTACAGGCTTGCAAAAAACACAAATAATACAGATTACAACAATTTAACAAAAAAAAAAGGAAAAAGCAGCAGAAAGTGACAGTTTTTGGCAAACAAGTAAGTCTTAAGTGCACGCTTAAAAAGATTAGGATCTCAAATATCTCTAATGTCAGTTGGAAGATTATTCCAAAGTCTGGAAGCATAAGAAGGGAATGAACACCTCCGATTCTGTTGTATGTGTTGTTACGTGAAGGGAAACGTTGGTCAAGAAAACCCTAAATGTATGTGATATTATTTCTATTTTATATAGTATACCATATTTTGAGCATAAGCCACTGTAACCAGAAGCTTAATCTCTAAAGCTCATTAGGCCGACCAGCCCTCCTTAAACTAATGTTAGAATACCGCTCTTTCGGCGGTAAAGAACAACTAAAACCTCATAAAAAAGGCAACTAATCCATTTACCCATAATTGAATCCAAGGACACCAGTGTTAAACACTCAGTACTTATCCTTGATAATGTGTTAATCCAATTAATATAGTGAGATAACGTAACGTTAGTTTATCGAGGGCGGGTTGAGCTAATGTGAAGGATGAGTCTCAAAAAGAGAACAAGAATAGATCAGCATTGACAGTTGCATTGGAAAACAAATTCACTTCCTTGTTATCATTGCCCCACTGGCAACACAATTAACGAGTGGTTACTAATATAAATACTGTTTTAACTAAGTTTACAATCTTTGTTTTTTGTTATATAACCATTATTAATTTCTTTTATTAAAATATTCTCAAGTTTCTGTGTTGAGGTAACAAACATATTATTTATATATATTATATATAATTTATAACAATATAACTCAATATTTGAATTGTTTTCTTTACATTTTCTAGTATTTAAGTATGTTATTAGTTCTCTTATAAAAAGTAGAACAAGGAAAAAAAATATATACATACTGTATATACACATTCATATATTTTTTTTTACCGTCTTTAATGTAATATATATAATATATATGTATATATAAAATTTATATACATATATACATACATCATTAATGTAAACACTAATAGTTATATTTTTATACTTTCAGTACACTTGCCTGGCCCTATCCAAGCGTTTCATTGCATTTGGAGCTACATCCGGTGCAATTTATATTTTTCAAAGAGACACTAACAAGTACCTTCAGGTTCTCGTGAACAAGGTGAGGTTTAAAAAGCCTCATTTATTTCAACGGAAGGGATTTCTGTTTTTTTAATGATGAGGGCAGAGCAACATATTGTATTCTGAAGTCAGTTCAGTGTATTAAAAGGCATGGCCTTAAAATTTGGCTGAATATATGTAAACATTGTCTGAAATTTACACGTAAAAATTAATGATAGTAGCTTAGATCAGTCGGCTAAACTGGTGGTAGCCACTGTGTGTGCACTGAACCGTGGAGAAATCTAGGTTCCCTGTTCAATTCCTATCGCTGCTCACCATAATGTTTCAGCTGGAGTGCTGAATACAAGTTACGAAAGCGCATTGTCTTTCGGATGGGGCGTTTCAGCCATTGATCCTGTGTGTATCATGCCCCACAGTATACTCTTCACTCTATATAAAAGAGTAGGGGATTGTTTCCCGCTGTACTGCCCAATCACCACCAGAAGAACCCCACTGGAAGTAAGTCTTCATCAGACTTTTGTCGGTTATCCTTGGTGTTTCAACCGAATAAATCCATCCATCCAGAGATTCATCAAAATCTAAAAAGGAAATAAGGTTCATGGAAAAGTATGAGAGAATACATCAGAATTAATGTTATTTGTGATGTTTTATTATTCTTATTTAAAGCAATAAAGGAGTATAATGAATGTTTCTAACAAACAATATTTTTTTTTTCTTTTGATGACCAAAGGTCATTAATTCACAATTAAATATTCATTTACAATTCTTGATGAATGTATGCAAGACAAGTTTTTTTTTTTTCACTTGTTGACTCTATCAAACTCATAATAAATACAATATCTTAATTATTACAATGAAATAATGAATGATCAAGTCAACAGCGAAATAATAATCAGTCATATTGCTTAAAATAATCAGAATGTAATAACAGTGTAAATATATAATATGAAAAATAACTCCAAAAAACTATTAAATAAGCAATTAGAGCCCCAGAATTTTGTAATTTTTAAGGGTAAGTCGACCCCAGAATCAATTATCCCAACATTTTATGTGACGCCCATAAAAGACAATAAAGAGTTGTGTGAATATAATTTTGTTTAAATCATCAACTATAACCTGAATTGCTTACTTGGATTTGTATCCTCTACCACAATGGCGTTCTATCTTTTCCTGTCCTTTATGGCTTCCTGAAAATCTACACTTATAGCCCTGTGTCTAACTTAAGCATGGAGGTATTACCTGTACATTACCTCTATGGTTGATCTCGATGTTGGTAATACTGAGCATGGAGGAGGTATAAAGCTGACTTATTCTTCCATGGCTAGGGCATCTTATTGTAGGTTTTACAGGAGAGTCAATGTTAATAAGTCTATACTATGTGAAACAAGTGTATTTGTATTTAGGAGATAGGTTCTAATGTGACTTAATCTGCCAGTCACATAATATGTTACTTATGCGGGATCAGTAAATATGACCCTTTTAAGTAGGCTAGCTCAGTCGGCTAAATCGGTGGTAGCCACTGTGCGTCTGCTGAATTGTGGAGATCTCTTGGTCCCCGGTTCAATTCCAGTTGCTGCCCTCCTTGCGTTTCAGCTGGAGGGCTGAAATACAAGTTTCTAAAGCACATCGTCTTTCAGATTGAGATATTTAAGCCATTAGTCCTGTGTGCAAAATGGCTCATGTAATGTTAAAGAATACAGTGTACTCTTCTGAAAAGAATAGGGGATTGTCTCCTGGTCTACTGCCCAATTCACAATCAGTAGGACCCCACTGGCAATATTTATTTATTTATTTATTTATTTATTTATTTATTCTTTCTTTAGACTGCATGCACTTTCAGTGCTTGAGTACTGATTTTCAAAGTGGTACAGTTACAAACAAACCATGAAATAGAAAAAAGATAATACAAAATAAAGTCAAAAGAAGATTCAATGTAAAACTTAAAAATTAATAGAATGTTGGAATGTAACTAGGGTCATTTCTTTAAAGTTAGTTTTTGTTTCGTTTGAAAGTTCATTCCAACTTTTTGAGCCCCGATATAAGAAAGTCTTGCCTTGGCAGATATTCCAAGGTGGTACAATTAAATCATTATGCGTTTGGCTACGTGTGCATTTTGAATGTATATCATGTCTTAGGACTTCAGTGGGTTATCTTTGGTACTTATCATACCGAAGAAATCCGAATTCAAAATCCAGTATAACAATGTGACCTATTCTATCGTCTTTTTTTCTTAGGAGGGACCAGTTTCCCATGTAGCATTTGCTCCTGATGACAATCTAGTGGGATTATCTACTAAGTAAGTGTACTCATTCCTACCAAGCATTGGAAAGCTCAATGCTTCGTTTTATTTAATCATTTGTAGAATTATTTTTAAAAAATAATTTGATATACAACATCATATAACAATAAACTCAGAGAATTTACCTGCATAATTAAGAGCTTTTGATTATGATACAATAGAAATATGCTAATGGATTTCCTGATGTATTTCCCTTTTTGACATTGTTTCAGTTGCGATGATGTAAAATTTAGTATACGTATTCATACAAACCAAAAAAGAGTATTAGTTTTGTTTTTGCTATGTACTCGATAATGAACACGTCCAGGATTACGATATTTACCACAGGAAAAGGATATAACTCTTGTACAATTACTTCACAAAAACCCCAATTATTTTGCAATTTAAGAAGCAAGGTTATTGGTCATATGGCATGTTTAGAATATAAGATATTGTTGAAATTATATGAATTTAGTTTTGTTTTTTTTTCAAATTCAGAATATACTGTATGAGGCGAAATGTTTGATTGAAATCCCAACCAAAGTTGTCACTTTAGAGTATCATCCAAGAATACCATCATATTTTTAATGAATCTATTCATGCTTTTGTGTCATTGTTGTCATTGTCAAATTCTGTTGCTAGTTGAAAGTTGACTTTTGTATATAATGTTAAGAAGAATACATAAAATTTTATTGGGCAATATTAAGTTAGGATTTTTGCTTGTTGTACAGTTTTGTCTTAATCTTTTTAGTTGTTATTGTATATTCTTTATGTATTTTTTGCTTGTGGTCTAGTTTTAAATTCATTCTTGATGTTTTTGTCCTGCCAAGGAAAAAAAAACTCATGATGAATAAACTGATCTATGTCTATGTAAAACCAAATTTCCTTTCTCACCAAGTTATGTAAACATTCCTTTAAAAAAAATCAGAGTTTATTTTAGAGAATTGGAATGTTTAAATATACAATTAATTACTGAACTCAGTTGACTTTTGAGGCCCCAATTATTTAATACTTTGCTTTAAAACTATCAGCAATAAACATAACTCTGCTATGTATACTTCTAAGGGGGTAACGTATTAAATTAACAAATTAACCTTTGTAAAAGTCAGGTTCACTAATATTTGATTGAACTTTGATTTAATGATAAGTTTGAGATTATGAAACACATTTTCTCTTAAATTAGTTTGCTAGTGTTTGGTTCAACAAGAAGTATACACCCTTAGTGTTGAGCAAATTGAAAATCAGATTCATTGTATTATTTTGTATATTTCATGGAGTAATTTAGCTTTCAATTGAAAATGGAATTAAAGAATATTTTTCTGCAAATTTATAGAAGCAGTAAATTATACTGTTCCTTAATATTTGAATAGTTTCATGTGGTTTGCTTATTATTGTTGTAAGACTGTTTTAATGTTTAATACACCAAGTACAATTGATGTTAACTTACTGCTTAGAGTAAGTTAAAATCCATCTATTGTGCTTGGTTTATTAACAATTAAAACAGTCTTAAAACGATATTGTTCCTATTTTTTTTATTGTCTGGTAATAAATCTAAGGATTTTTTTGAAGGAAAATGTCAGCAAAAATTGAATTGTTTCAATTTCTGTCTTAATTGTTAGAAGCTGATAATTGTTTTTTTTTTTTGATTACACGAAGAAAGTTGTATGCATTAATGTATACATATAATTTAATGTTTTATTTGATTTTTTTTAAAGGTTTCCGGGATTTTACAAAGTATTTAATCATGTATCTACATTTTGTTTCCCAGCAATGGTTTGGTTGTAATCTGGCAGTTGAACATTGCAAACCGAAAGAAACCAGATTTATTGATCACTTCGTTCGCACATAAAGGGTCTTGTATCACTTGCCTGAAATGGAACGATACAAGTCAGAAACTGTACTCTGGGGACATTAAGGGGAAAGTGACCGTTACAAATGCATTTAGCAGAAAGGTAACCACATGTTCTTAATACAGTAAAATGTTTATTTGTTTCCTAGATCATAATATTATACATATGTTTGTATTATGTTAATAAATAGTTATTTAAACATACTGTAATTAGTGCATCTGTTGGTTAAAGGATAAAGATGTATATAATCTGGGGTTTACACCTCAAGTGCTAGCAAGCTTGGTCAGTGGTCCAAGCATGTAGAACAGACCTAATAAAAAATTAAAATTAATTTCATTGTTTAATATGAATAACTCTTTATGAAATTATGTACCACTGAAAATTTAAATTATATTGTTTAACAAATTATTTGTCTTAGGTGTCAAGACTGTTGCAACTACCAACCAATTTTCATTATTTTATATGAATAACACTTTATGAAATTATTTAAGTACCATTAAAGTTTAAATTATATTGTCTAATAGGCATCAGGACTATTGCAAATACCAACCAATTTTCATTATTTTATATAATGCTTTATGAAATTATGTACATTTGAAATTATATTATTAACATATTATTTGTCTTAGGTGTCAGGACTGTTGCAACTACCGACATCTCCAATTGTTAGTTTAGATTCTGCTATCGTCCAACTAGATTTCACCAAAGATTATTTACTTGTCTCTTCGCTCAGCAAATGTCACATTTGTAATACTAAAAGGTAGTTTCACTCATATTTTTATCTGAAAAGATTGTTCTAAGAAACCAATCAATAATTTGCATATGTTTGCACATGTCCTAATATTCAAGGAGGTAATCCAATGTTGCTAGTATCTTATTGCAATGTCAGTGGTAGATTCAAGGGGGGCCCCTCCCCGTTCCCCCAAAATTTTTCAAAATAATAAAATGTAATAGAGAAGAAAATAAAATTGAATAAAAATTTAAGTCTGAGAGTGCCATTTCAGAATTCCAGGTTCTTTAATCATAAAATTCCTTAACTCAGCCCCAACCATGGTGGGGCTGATGTGGGTGGATCCTCTTTCTGTGAAAATCCCTTCTCATGGGCCCCCTCTATAATTGTATTCCAGAAAGGTGTTTATTGATTGCTATATCATGCTTAAATAAACAGACCCAGCCTATATGCATGTTTATTAGTGTGTACTGTATTTTTTGAATTTTTATGATGCTCCATTCTGTTATTTTTGCATTTGTAATATTCTTGTTTTGTATTTTGAATTTTATATGGATTTTGATAGCTGAAGTAAAGATTTGAAAAAAAGAAAAAACAGTATCAAAATCATAAATAATTCGGTCAAACTTGATATCACTATATGCAAAATAATATTAGCATAATATTCACATACTTGAGAATTTTTCAGACATTTTTACAAATGACATCTTCTTAACATAGCGAATATAGAGTACGACTGCAGCCTAATGAATTAAAAAGAAATATAGAAATAATTTTAAGCAGAATATTATAATTCAAAATATAAATAATTAATTTCTTTAATGTATGTTATTTTTTGTGTTCTCAGGCAACAGTTTTATTCTGTTGGCAAGAAATTGAGGTAAGAGCTGTTATTTATTCAGAATTAATAATGAAAATTAAAACAAATATATGTGGCAAAGACAAGCCAAACCAGTCACTTGTCGCAAAAATAGATTTTTAGTTATTAATACAGTGTTAGAGAGTAAAATAATAGCTATAAAATGGTAAAAAAATCATTCAAATCGGCCATTTCCTAATGAAGTTAAAAGCGTTTAAACATCATACAGCTGTTTAAAGAACAATATATGAGAAATCAGCCTTCAAAGTTTATGATTTCAGGCATTTCTCATGCAGAAACTATCATTAAATCCTTAAAAAGTGTTGTTTTAACATTGAAAATGGGGAAAATAACAGCATAGAATGATGTATAGATATGTAAAGATTAGTTTAGTGCAATAAAATAGATTTTTAAAAATTCGACATTCCAGCATATTTTGGCCATTTTCTCTGAAACACGATTTGCGACGAGTGACTGGTTTGGCTTGTCTTTGCCACATATAGAAAAAGCATGCAAAGATTTACTAAAGAAGCCAACACTATGTGGCAAACACATGTTCAAACATTATTTAATATCTTTCAAACATTTTTTTATAGCCACTTCAAATTGTCATAGCCAACAAATATTTTGATGTTTATTCATAGAGATGGATTGTATGGTGCATGTTTTTATCTGAAGAGCAAAGAAGGTGATGCTGTTATCTATTCAGCTCGTCCAGGATCAAGACTGTGGGAGGTTAGTGTAATGTTTGACTAGCATACCTATTCCACATTTCTGTTTAAATGCTTATTTTTGTAATTTGCTGAATTACATTATACATGAATATTTGTACATGGTTTTACATTTATTAATTGGCCCAGGTACAAACTGAATTTTTTTAAATTTATTTTTACTTTTTAATCTTTGTAACTTGTTTCAATTTGCATTATTATTTGTTATTTTTTATGCCAATTATTTTTATTATATGCAGTAGAGCCTCTAGCTTGGTCATTAAAGATGGAAACTCCACTCTCTGCGAGCGCTAGATGACGCGATGGCTGCTGATTGCCCGTGGCAGTCTGAACTGATCGTCACTAAAAACAATCCTTTACGATACGATACGAAAAAAATTTTATTCAAATAAATTGAAGTTGAACAATTTCACACAAAAATTTAAAAAAATTATCTAATAATTAAAAGGACTACAGTAAAGCATTAAAATGTGTGCATGCATGTGGTGCTGCGTTCTCCATTGAATCATGTCACTCGACGACCGCCGGGCACAATGAGTGTTTGCCTTAAGGCGTAAAAGGCTTGCCCTTCAGTGTCAGCATTCTGGATTCAAATCCTTTCAGTTTCCTTTTTTCTCATGATATTAAATGGCTTCACCCCTAATCTTTCTAATCGGACTTGTCTTATACAGCATCACTGATTCTAATGGGAGAACAGTAGATTGATACTGATTGGTTCCCCATTATAATTAGGAAATAAAATGGAATAACAAATATACCACATGTTGGTTGAATCATAGAATAAATTGTATTTTTCACACAAGCAAAACAACCCATTCCAAGCAGAAATCTGATAAAATTATTCACAAAGTTGAGGGTACCTGAGTATTAGATTGCCTTGTCGGATTACCCTCATAAATATAATGTTAAAAAAAAAAGCTGTTATTATCTGAATATTTATGATTTCTAGATATTCAAGATCTTTGTTTATAAGCTACACATTCGTATCTGAATATATGCTATACATAAAGTGGGTTAGAGAATGTGCTCACATATTTATGATTTGTTTATAAGAGCCAAATAGATCATAACAAGTTAACAGACATAAAATGTTTGAAGGAGTGGTTATGTTAAGCATGTCTAGACTATCATTTTTTATTTCACAAAAATATTGACATGTCTAAATATGGTCATGATGAAATCACATACAAGATACAAGACACAAAATAGATTTATTGTGCACAACTTGGTTCACGTGAAATTTAAGTCCCAATGCTTTCATAAAATAGAACATAAACTTAAAAATACATAATAATAACAAGGTGCAATTAATATGTTAAGATAATAAGCATAATACCATTTGGTAAGGTATGGCATGTGTACAGACATTATAAAAATAAGTATATATTAAATAGCTTAAGTATGGCGTCTAGATCTCAACATTGAAAATGTTGCTTTCTTTATTGTCTGTAATAAAATCTTGAAAAAAACCAAACATCAATTGAAACATCAAAACTAAAATAATGTGTCAGAATTAGAAAAAAAAAAATTAGTTTGATTTACAAAATTTTATTACAAAATATTGAATTGCATCTGTGTAAATAGAAAGTAAAATATAGTTTAATAACTTTTTTATTAGCTCAGAAATATCTTATGACAGTTTCCCTTTTTTGGCATTTTGATGTACAATCAATTTCTGTATTGTTTAGCGTGCACTGTTTGTGCTACAAACTACTGAATTGTTTGTAACCCAATGATGCTTCGTCTATATTGGCAGCAAATTTGAGGGCCTGCGCAGAAAGTATAGGAAGTGTGTTTTTTTTTTATCTGTTTAGTGTCAAGGAAAAGATTTTATTGTTCCTGATTTTCAATTGAAAGCATAATAACTTGCGGTTAACTCAACACAGTGTGTCTTATGACACCGCTATTTTTTTGGCATCTGGATGCACAAACAATTTCTATATTGCTCAATTTAATTTATGTTCTCATTGGCATCGGGTAGTCACTAGACAGTGATTTAAGTTCACATTTTCGCAATCCCATCCAGCCAATTGAGTGTTGTTTTTTTCCTCTCTGTTATCTTGTGTTTGTCAATTTTAATGTTCTTTGGACCAAATAAATAAAATGAAATGCACACTATTTTCACTACAAAATACAGAATTGTTTTTAATCCAATTATTATTTATTTCAACAATATTTTGTGATGGTGCTCCATCCAACCAGTTGGGTCCCTTATAGTAGATACAATTAGAGGCACAAGAATAAAAGATGAAAATTAAACTAGATATTTAACATTATCAAATTAATTGACATTAAAAATGATATTTAACAAAATGAAAATAAAAGTAAAATTGACACATTATAGAAACAGAAAAATAATTGAAATTATAAATTAATCTAGAGAATTAATGGACACATTAAAGGGGAAATAAAAAGTAAATAGCCAAATAAAGAGAAAATAATTTATTATTAATTAATTAACTATTATTATCAGTCTTTTATTTTTAGTGTTATTTTTTTTCAGGCTACTCTTAAAGGTGAAGTTGTGGCAACACACCAATTCAAAAGACAACTTGCAATACCTGCATTACCAATCATTAGTACGGAGTAAGTCATCGTTTTCCTCTCGGGGTCCCGCAACTCGTAGGAGTCTCCCTGAAATTGGGATGCTTCCCGTACTTCTACAAACAAACAAGAATTTCCCAGAAATTAGCCCATCTCCTGCGATATTTGCATGTTTTAACTACTGTATTATTAATTGTCTTCCGGAAGTCACAACCAATGTGTATCACCATACCCAGCAAAATATATTCAGATTTCTTAAGAAAGCTCATTTAAAATCTGACCTCCCAAATCTCAACTTTTTTCTTGTCTAGTTCTTTTGCTGCAATAATTGTATTCTCAATTCTCAATAAAACAACATTAAATCAGCACAATAATAATTATTGAGTAGATAATGTAAGAAAAAAAACAGCAATTTGGATATTTTAATGTTAAAAAAAATTTAATATATAGATGTTTTGAAATGTAGTTTAAAGATATGTTTGTTAATTGATTATGTCAGTGGTTGATTGGTTGACTGATCAATCAACTCAACTTGAGTGATTGCTTGAAAATACCAGTCATAAATTGTATCTACAGCAAAAAGGAGATAAGGAAGGAATACTATTCATTTGTTGTTTTAATTTGGTAACTATAAATTCTATTTTCTTAGGAGTGATGTTCACCCGACCCAACATATTATCGTACCAAATACTCAGTAAAGCATTCCCAAATATTTGCAAAAAAAAGCACACATTGAAATAGCATTGCAGTACCCGCTGCTACTTGGGGATCGGATTCAACACTAGTCACTAAGCGCAGGCTTGGTGGTCTAGTGGTTATGGCGCCAGGCTAGTTATTTGGAGGTCGTGGATGCAATTCCCACTTAAATCACTTGCAAAGCATTTGTGAATGTACTTATTCTCTATGTTAATACATCAGGTAGGGCAAAACAACACTCATTTGATATTTTCCTGATGCAAACACACATCAAAATAATTCTATTTTATTTTGTTACGAGTATATCACATTTTTTTTTTATAGTTGTGATGAGCAGTTCATAGATGCTGAGGACAGCCAGCCTCCACAAGCAATTAATTTTCCATTTCTATTGAGACTGTGAGTGATCAATTCTGAAAGTAATTTTAGCTAAGTTTACAGTAATAAATTTATATTTAGTTCATCCTCCATATCAACTCAGTGTTATGACATACATTGACTTGATGAATCCAAGACCTAATCTCAAATCCATCAAATATAGTGTTTCAAGCTTTTCTGTGACAAAAACCTGTTGTATAGTCATGATGTACCTATATATGGTCATGATGTGATGTCATCATGACCATATTAAGGCATGTCACATGCTTCTGTCAGTTAAATGTGATAGTCAGGATAGTGCTTAACATGGCTGCCAATGTCTCATTTATATGGCAGTGTTTTTTTTTTGTTTGTTTTGCTAATGACATTTTAATCTGCATTCATTTACAGTGAACATTTTTTATTGACATGGAATGAGAAGGCTATATATATACTGGATACTAGTACTGGTAAAGTGGTTTTGTGGACCCGTCCCCCCTCAGGTGCAGTACTTTGAATTATATTCAATTTGTGTGTCCATTCTGTTCGATTATTTTAACATTCACTAGCAGAGTACACTTGCTAATTAAAAGATGAAATATATCTTCTAAAGAACTAAAGTGTCCTGAGAAAAAAAATGTTAACTGTCCCAGGGTTTAAACCCAGAAATGTATGATTGGAAAGCTGGCAACCAAGCTACATTACCACTATTTATTCTTTTTCACTTATATAACTCTGTTAACAATCAAGTACATAAAATTTTAATTCGCAGTATAAATTAATAGATAAAGGATTTAGCCATTCAACTTTGAGCGAACTTTGGATTTACTGGATTTAAATACTTAGCATAACTGGTGTAAAGCTGTGTTTGTAGTTTGACTGGCATTCAGCTTGTGATTTCTTAGATCCCTAAAGTATATTTTGTATTGTAATATCAACAAGCACAGGAAATGGTATTAAAATTTTATAAGTTTATTACTAATTTTGCATCTTAAATTGACTATATTACATGGTATATGTTGGCAGAAATAACACTCTACAAAGATTTTATGTTAATGATTAAATTTTGTTTGTCTTTCAGGAATCCAAAATCTGTGTGTTTACAAATCTGATATCTACTACATTGACAATGAAAGCCAGATAAATAAGTTGTCATTTCTAACAATTGAAAGATGTATTGTCAGACTTTTTATTAAGCAATCTTGGAAGCTCTGTGCTTCCATTTGTCACCACTTTGCAGAGATCCTGACTAGTATAAAGACCAAGAGGCTTGTGTCAGTTAACATCCTCAAAGATATCAAGCAGCATTTATCCAAACAGGAAAACACAAAGGACCTGATTGGCTGTCTGGATGATGTCATTTATAAGATGGAGCAGATTATTACAGAGGAGACCAACTCAAGTTCAAGCAGTCGGAGGAGTAGTATTGAATCTGTTGATAGCATCCGATTAGAGTCAGGGATTTACCTCATTAGAAGTCGCAGAGGAAGTCAGGAATCCTTGGAAGACTTACTGTCATCTCCAATAAACCATCTTACTGAAAGTTCATCAAAAAATGATGATGCAATGAAACAAGATGAACAATTTACTGACATTGAGTGCTCTAAATCTGAAAGTGATGGTAATGTTGCAAATAACAATGAGCAAAGTAACGCTAGGTCAAAGGAATCAAATCCAGATAACATCAATATTTTGGAGGAGCAAGAAGTAGTTGAATTATCAAGCGAACATAGAAACTGCCAATCAAATGGTTTAGATTGTGAAATAGACTTCCAGGAAGACTCACTAGCGAAACAGATTTTAGATTCGGATTCTGCTGGTGAGGCGAATGAATCAGAATTACTAACATCACATCCTGCTGGCAATGCAGTAGAGGTTAATGAACTGCATACTCAGGTTGAGGTCACCGTCACACATAACGGAACTGAATGTGAATTCAACAGCCCAGATGTAGATATTGATACTGATTGTCAGGAATCAGCGACACTGGACACTAATGGAGGCTGTGTTGAAGATGAAATGACAACGAAAAACATTGAGGAAGATGGCATTCAATTGAGATGCCCAGAACCTGCACAAAATCGCAATACATTAATTGAAAACTCTGATACCAATATTACAATGATAGAAAAGCAGCCTGTTGATATAACAACTGTGGTTCAGGATAAAATGTCATGTGATGATGATGATGATGACACAAATCCAGTAGTAGTCTTGACACCATCTGTAACAGAAGAAGCTGGAGTTGTAAACCATGAACTCATTGTGAAATATAATAAGCTAGAGGAAACTGATTCATTTGCTGATGGTGCTTATGAACCTGTAATGAGAAGAACTGAAAGCTTCACATGTTCCAATAGTAATGATGACAGGACAATAATTAGAAGGAGCTACTCGATGTCAAATGCTAACATGCTAACTGAAGTATCTTCCAACCCAAAACCTTCCAGAAAGCAAAGTCGACATCAAAATGGAAAAAAGAAGAAAAAGAAAAGCAGAGTACCTGAAATTGGTACTGTATATATATCATTGGGTGTAGTAATCCTTCTCCCTTTTTGTATTACATGAATTTTATATAATTTTGTACAATTTTAGTTTAATTTTTATATTTATTATTACCACCTATATAGTGTGTATAGATAAATGAAAGCTATAATATTTAGAGCAATAATTTGAAACAAACTTCATAAAAGCAATACAAGTCATCATGATGCTGCATTTCAAACCTTATATCTTTATTTTTATATGTAGCTCTTTTCATTTTCTTTATTATTTGTACACATTTTATGGTTAATTTATTCATATATGTTTTTGTTTTTTCAGGTGAAGTCAAACCAAAAAAAGATAATCATAAAGAGAATATAGATGGAGGTCAGAGTTCAAATGGTCACATCCTGAAGCCACGGCCAAAGGATATAATTATACCTGACAAATCTCCCTCAGTTTCAAATTCCCCAAGTCCACTTTTTGGAAAGAGGTTTGGGTTGGAATCACCCATTTTCTCCAGGAGAGGTTCTCCATCTCCAGTAGATGATGTAACACCTGAGAGGAAAGGATTAGGACAGAGGCAGATTTCTGTGCCATTTGCAGCTGTAAAAGACAGGTAATTCATCCAGTACTGGCATGTTTAACACATCGTTCAAATGGTGGTTTAACAGCAAATTAGTATTTTTAGTTTGACAACCTCAAATGACGTTAGAAAACAGGGGTTTTGTTTGACAGCAAAATTTACTCCACACACTGCTGCCACCACCAATGTGTAATGCCTAATTCCTTTTTGCTGTAACAGCAAAAGAACTAAAATAATGCACTTTCAAAAAGAACAATTTTCAACGAAGATTGATTGATGAGTATCTCACTCATAGACTATCAGCACCAGTGTACTGCAGTCTAATGTAAAGATCTTGCTTATTTCAGTCTCAGTTCTACATACTCAAAAACCAAAGAGTTTGTGAAAGCAAAGCTTGACCAGAACAAGAAGTCTCCAAACACAGAAGAATCTGGATTAATATCACCAGCTCAATTGCCATCAGAAGAGAAACTTCAGAATGAATCACTCTATGCTGGTGACATAGTGGTGAAGGCCTGTGATACTCATGAGATCTACTCTCCATTTGAAGAGGCTACCATTTCGACAAGGTAATATTTATGTTCATTTTCCTTTAGTTACTATGAGCTACTGATATTCAAAAATTGTTCATAATTTCATCCCTGTAGATCCAGCATACAAGCAGAAGTGTTCATTGTTTTTGGAATTTATTTAGTAGTAGTAGTCAAATATTAATGATATAGCAATATTGATAATTTATATACTGAGGGGCAAAACTTTAAATATTAGGGCAACTTGAGGAAGGATTAAAATCAGAGGGAGGTGGGGGGGAAGCCAGTCGAAGGAAAGAGAGACTGGTTGGAGGAGAGAAAACTCAGGCGAGGATGGGAGAACAGAGGGAAGTGGAGAGGAGGCATAGCCTTTTGCTTCCCTCCAGGGACTGCCCTTTTTACTCTTTCATAAACTTTGCAGTTCAATCTTGTGAATTTCACCAGATGTTTGTGTATATTTTGTATAAACAGATTAAAGTTGCAACATCCATTGATACTGTATGATGTCAGCATGTGTCGAGAAGTGTTGGATCAATGGTTGACAGATCTACAGGCAGCTTATGAAAAGAATTCAGAATTAAAAACTGATGGAAAGATTGTAGTTCAAGACAATCAGCTAATTAGTGATGAAAATAAAAACCTTAATGATGATGAAGTCACAGATTCTGAAAAGATATCTGATGACATGAAGGAAGATCCAGGCATTCAAATTGAAAGTGTACTTGCTAGTGAAGATTCTTCATCAATATCTGAGGAACTCTATGTAATGGCAGATAATTTTCCGTTGCAAGACGCGCTTCATGATCATGCTTCAGAGCTGTTAATGATGTGCCTTGAAATGCAAGTGTTCCCTGAAAGCAGACAACCTGACATTAATGAAGCAAATGCCACCCCAACTACATCATTTAATGATGGCCTTTCAATGCAATTTTGTGAATCAAATAAAGAAAGTGAAAGAAAAGGGACATCTGTCCAAGACTCTGAATATTCAGTTCCTATAATTGATAGAAAGACACTTGATATGCAGGCTGCAAATTTTGTCAAACATTTTTTCCATTTCTTGGATGTTAATCGAATCAGAAAGGTAATGAGTTCCTGGACAGATTGCAGACAGAAAACATATAATGTGCTAAGCAGGAAACTGATTGGTTAGTTGTCATTAAAAATTTTTATTTATAACGTATAATAATAATTTAAATATATTATGTACAGTATATTTATTTTAATCAGGTGAATTACCATCTTTCAAAATCAACATTCACTTCTAATTTGTGTTGCTGCTCAATTTCTAAGATATATTGTTAGCAAAATATTTTTCCAATGTTTTGAATAGTGTTGAAATGTTGTTAAAATAGAATTTCTATCCCTTCTATTTCTATATCTTTTTTAAAGGTTACTTTAATGGAAATCGAGCCACCAGCTGTCAAAACACATCATGTGCTGCTAAAATGGTGCAAATGCAAGAACAGTACAAAGATATATATAGAATGCTAAGGTAAGCAGTATATGATAATGAAAAATAACCTACTTTAACTTAATGTTGTGTTGATCAAACTTCATGATTATACGAGGAAAATATTATGATGAAATAAGGATAAAGAGGATGATGACGATAATGATCAGAATGAAGAGAATGATGATTATGATGATAATGATATGATGATAATGCTTATTAGTGTTACAGTACTATGAGTTTACACTGTGATAAGGATGATAATGATGATGATAATGAGGATAATGATGAAGCGAAGTATGATGATAGTGTTGATGATGGGTGGAGATGATAAATCAGATGATAATATTACAGATGTTGGGGAGGATGATGATGATAATGTTATGATAATGATGGTGATAATTTCATAACAAATAATCACAATATTTCTTCCCTAATATTACAAAAAAAAAATGTATTTTAACAGGTTATGGTTTACCATAATTGGTATATAGTTTGTTGGTCCATCTCATAAGTTTTATTATTATTATTCTTAGAATAATATGATGTTTTTCCCTTTGTCAGATTGGTTATTGATAGTCCCGATTCCAGTGTAGAAAGCCTCATCGAATCCAAAGTGGACTTAAGAGTTTGGGAAATCAAAGAAATATTGCAGATATTCCATCCATCAAAAGCACAAAAGCTGTTTGGGGATTATGTTAGTTCCAGAATGCAACAAGAAAGTCTTTCAGATAGGTATGTATAAATGAACTGATTTTATTACCATTATTGTGGTTGTGATGGTGACTGTGATAATCATGGTGTATTTGGTAGTTGGGGTGATGGTAGTTGTTACAATCATGTGCTGCAATAACCATGGTGGTGGTGGTTGTATTGTGTAGTGTTGGGAGTTAGTAACTTTGGTGATGAAAATGTTGGTGTTTCCAATAGTGGTCTCCCATCTGAAATTAAACTGGACCAATATAACTGGGGTGATCTCTTATGTACTGGATTTTCAATGTAGTATAGCCATAGATTTAATTAATGCGATAATCTTGATGGTGGTGATAATTAATTTTGTGGAGAAGACAATGCTGACGGTATGGTGGCATGCATGTGATAATTATTGCTGTTATTAATATACTTTTTATTCTGAATTTAATCCATGGTTCTGAGCATCCATTATTGTTTTATTTTCCTGTACAGATGCAACTTTACTGCAGAGCTTTGTGACGACAGTAATGTTTTCAACTACCTCATTCAATGCATTTTTAACTGTAATACTGTGGCAACCAAAATGGCCATCTGTACATGTGGCTCACCCAGGTATGACAACAATTTCAAATATATTTTCTTACTCTCTGTATAAGAGAAACTACAAGGCGTCTGTGTGATGTCCCATGCTAAAAGTAGGTGGAAATATAGGGCATCACCATGACAGCAAATTTTATTTAGTTCAATTCAGGGAGACCAACTGCCATGTTTTGATTTTTCTTTTGTATTAGATCTGGATCGCATAATTTGGCTTGGGAATATCAAGAGCTTCTAGATACACTGCTTGTTCACATGGCAACAACCAAGATGGCTGCAATTTGTGAGCAGTATGGGTAAGTTTATTAATGTATTTTAATGTTTTCATTTTACTCTTGATAGCTTACATGATGAAAATAATTATTTCTTGTGATAATATGTGATAATATGGGTAAATTATATATAACTCAATAAATATTGCACTTATTTTTTCTTTTATCTTGTAGTTACTGGCAAGGGTGTTTGAAGTTGAGTGATTATTTATCTAGGAAGACCATTTTGGATATTATATGGTGCCTTGGAGACATAAACATTTTGCAAAGAAAAGGTAAATTAATGCATTTTCTGCAGATCTTTAGGAATTTGAAATAGAGGGGCCCAGTGTGGAATGTTCACAGACGGGGAATGTACACCGCCTCAGTCCCACCATGGTTGGGGCTGAGGTAAGGAAATTTATGACTATGCAACCACTAGATGGCCATAAATGGCACTCTCAGACTTAAATTTTAATATAATTTTCTTATTTTCTCCATTTTTTAAATAATCCTGGGCCCCCTTGATTCTGCCACTGACGTTACTGTATCAACACAATAAAACTAAAACTCAAATTATTATTAATATATTGCAAGAGGTTGTTTAGTAGATGCTGGATTTCCAAGTTCTGCACTTCATTCAAATAGAATTTGTTACCACAACTTTTTTTCTTTATGCAGGTTTAATTCCAACTTCCTTCGATGAATGGCAGTACCTGCTGAACCAAATTTCCCGACTTGAGGCCTTCAGCAAAGAAGCAATGTCGACTGGAACATCAATCAAATGTTATCAATGTTTTACATCCAATTCAGAAACAGTGTCAACACCATCTCTGCAAAATATTGCCATTGATGCAACCAATCCAGAAGTAGAACTGACAGTCAACAGTCATTCTGATTGGTCTACTACGATCACATGGGAAAATACTGTTCCGCTATTGGCCAAAAGTATAGGGCCTCAAACTGCTATAGATATCCTGGGAAAGTTTAAAATTCCAAAAAATAAAATTTCTCCAGAGTTCTTTCAAAATTGCATTATGGGAATTATCATCAATAGAAATCAGAGGTAATGATTGTTTCAGAAATTCATTTGACGTTTTTTATTTTTAAAATATATATTGAAGATATTACAATGTTTTTCTTTATTTTTTTCATCTAGGATGGTCACTCATGCAATGTTAGAAAAAGTTGATTCCTACCTATGGTCCAAAAGGCAGCATGCATTACCTCAACAACTCAAACAATTTGTAAAAGAAGAGCACAAATGTAGAATATCAGGATTAAGGCAACCAAAAGAGGTAACAGTTGGTGTATAATTTTATTTATTTATTAGTAAATCATTGTTGCTTTTTTCAAGCTATTTAGATGTAAACTTTTTAATTTTTTAAAATATATTCAAGCATTGTTATATTTTTTATGTTGTCCTATGAAAGAAAAGTACCCTGTAAGGATTAACCCCCTTTCCACTTAAACAGCAGTTTAAGAAAATATATAAACAATAATGTAGGCAAAAAATTATCAACCATTTAAATATATTTATTTTAATTTTAAATTAGACTAGCGGTATAATTATTTTGTTATTTATTAGAGAAATTTTCATTTTTGTACAGCCACATTTCAAAGGAACTCTGTCTGGAAGGCAACATTTCTTAGAAGAGCCGCTTAGTCACTGGGGGGTTAATGTTAATTTGAAGAAGTAAGTAACAACCTTGATTTGTAAATGTAATAAAACACATAGTGGAAAAGCTGATGGATGCTTAAAATATGAAAGGAAGAGAAGTCTGTACAGTATTTTGTGTAAATGTAAATAGATAACAGGTGAACAAGCATCTACATCATTATCTGATCATTATCCTAATACAGATAAATGTCCATTTTACGAACGTCAATTTTACGAATAGTCAATTTTACGAATGGTCTTTGCCCCTGATGACGTCATCATCGACAAATTATTACCGTAAACAAAGTCCAGTTGCACACGTTTTACAAAATTATAATGTATATTTTTCTTAATAAAATCAAGTTTGTTGTATTAATTTATATAAACAACACAACAACAACACAATTCAGCGACCTAACAACTAGAAGGAACACAATAGAAAGGGCCATAAAACATACACATGTTTGAATAAGAGTTAAAATAATATTATGTTAAGTGGAAGAATGCCACACTGCTGCACTGTCGGTTCGTGCTAGGCCTGGCCGCCATCAGCCTATCAGCGCTCAATGGCAGGGGATAGCTAGGCCTTGGTATTGGAAACTGACACCTGATCTAGTTTACTAATTTCTCAATTTACGAACTTCCCTTGGTACGAAGGGGTACATGAAATGGACGTTTTGCTGTATTATGATTATCATCATCCTCATCTATATCATTATCATCTTCAATATCATAATCTTCATTATCATCATCATAGTCTCCATCGTCATCTTCATCATCATCCTGTATTGTAATCTTATTGACCATGACATTATAGTTATCATTGTTGTCTTCTTCATCATCATCATAATCGATGTTATTTTCTTTATTATCCACATCATTATTATCTTCATCATAATCTACATTTTCATTACTTTTTTCAATTTTAAATGTTCAATATTTGTATTGCTTTCTTTGTATATATAAATTTAGTCTATGTTCTCACACGGCAGCTAACGGTTAGCCGTGCGTCCATGCGAGAAAATCCTAATCCAGATACCAACAATATGATGATCGAATCACTGGCCAATAAGAAACTGGAAATTGTAAATGCGTACGTGTGATTGGTTGATGATAGAAACGCCCTCAACTTGCTAACCGTTAGCATATCCGGATACCACTAACGGTTAGCGCTAACCGATCAGGCGTTCTCACGTTGGTGCTAACGGTTAGCTCCCGATCCGGATACTAGGGCTCTTGTGAGAACCAGGCTATAATGTTTAATTGAAATTGTTTTTTCTGTCACCAATGAACAGGTCATTTTTTAGTTATTTTGAGTTTCCCAGTTTTTACCACAATATTATATCTTTAAGGATGATCATATTTATTCTTGTCCATAGGGATTGTCTTGTTTGTGGGCTGCAAGTTACTTCCCAAGTTTCTAAATCAACTCCAGGTCTTCTCATTTTTCCATGTGGTAAGCATACATATATATTTGTCTCCAACCATTACTGACGTTATTTTTCCAGTGACAATATAACATAAATAATATTAAAATTTTGCTGCAATTTTTAAGTGCAAGATGGTGTGGGCTCTAAAGTAACTACTCAGAGTCAGTCATTGTGAATGCAATGCAAAACCTTTAGCCTCCAGAGGGCAGTATACATGAGTGTATCACATCATTGCAGGTTCTATAAACTTTATATAAAAATAATGAATTACCTAAGAAAAGAAATGGGCTTAAACAAGCCTGGACCACCGTTACTGAGAATCGATACCACAGCACTGTTACTAAACAGTTTAACGTGCAAGACAAACCAACTCAACATTTTTTTTAGAAATTGTCTTTTTTTTAGAAATTGTCTTTTTTTTAGAAATTATCTTTTTTTTAGCATTTGTTTAAAGTAAAATAATTATTTCCTAAGTAGTTAATACCATTGACAATATTGCAATTGCCAACTATAACAATTTTGTGTCTATTTTATGTATTTTAATGCACTTGATAATAGCATGTTATTTTCTTTTTGTAGGTCACATATTTCATTCAGAATGCATCCCTGAAAGGTTCTGCATGGTTTGTTTTTATTCAAAGAAGATGTAAAGATGCTATTGATATATCAAAGAGTTTTTTTTTTTTATAGTCTGCAAATAAAGTAATGTGTAATATGAACAGTGCTTTCAAATGTGTATGATGTAGGACCCCTGGTCTGCTGAGCATATATTAAATTGAAAAAAAAAACAGAACTATCTAACTTGGGTGAGACCTTGGCAAATTTTATAAACTTTAACTACATCTGCTTCCAATCAAATGAATGAAGAATATTTGACAATTTATATGTTAATTAACTAAGATATTAACAAATATCAATATGGTGCTACTTAGATGTAATTTGCTGTAATTAATTTTGGATGATTTTATTTTTAGAATACTTAATATTAATAGTAAGTAGGAGCCTATTCAATGCTAAATGATGATATGCACAGTGAATACAAATTGTGGTGCCATGGTTGGATTCAGGGTGAAGGATTTATTTTCTGCTTAGTATTCCATTGAATAGCAAATATAATATGTGCATATGTTGGGGAGGGGGAGGGGTGTGGGAGGTGAGGTGTTGGACAGGTAACTCCCATCATTTATTTTTAAGATCGTCTTTTACATGAATTATCAGTGTTTGTTGTACAATAATTTGTTGCCATAGAAAGGTACTGAGAGTACTAGCTACTACTGTGTATATTTTTAATATTGTGACCAAAATCATAGTAGGACGAAACTACCACTACTGTTACTAACCCACCAGTGGCTTGAATGATATAACCACACCTTCATGATGAGTACTAAGTTTTCTAACTCTCCAAGGATTTACAATTATGTATAAATGATTAAATATAAAGTAAGTCTACAGAAATTATAGAATAATGTTATGTTGATTGTATAATAATGTACTACTTTGAAATTAATAAACATTGCCTTTTGTCATATATTTGTTATACAATTTTATTGTTATTGTTTTTGTGCTCACATCACCTCAAAATACTTACATTTTCTAATAATCTTCATCATTACCATCATTTAATTAGAATTGGACATGCAAGACTATAACAGTTTAGATATCTGCTTTTGTGATGAGGTAAAACAAAATTAATTAATTACAACATGGCCATCTGGGACATTGAGGCTTTTGTTGGAAGTTTGAATCCAATTGGAAACAATTTTGTTTCCACACTCAAAGGTATATTAATATAACATTACTACTCGACGCAACCTTTTCAGGAATGCTATTTCTTTTCTGTCTACTTATTTTATATAAATGAAGCATATGTGTATAGGATAGCTTTTATACACATCTAGATGTGTATAAGAGACAGGCGTACGTGTGATTGGTTGATGATAAAAATGTGCTCAACTTGCTAACCGATAGCGCTTGCTAACCGTTAGCAGTATCCG